TTACAACCTTTATTTTTCAAACTTGATTGTATAAGACATTATTTTCATAAACAGTTCATTGAAGTACTATCATGATTACAAATTCAAAGCTGATGCTTTTATACAATTTATTTATGCATAAAATTCTGAATTAATTTGTATTAGACATCGATTTCGCTTATTATTATTCTTCTTACTTACTTTGTGTCAAATGAAGAATTGGAAGCATGAGTGAGTGGAGGTATTGGTGAACCATCGAATTTCCATGATTTATTACTAGTGTCACCACTGTTGCTACTGCTGCTTTTGATACTACCATTATTATCACTATCGATGGACTGTTCAACCACTTGTAAGCATGCCAAATACGGTATCTGTTGGAGTTTGTATATGAAATCCTCTGGGGTTCTTGGTGCACCACCACAAAGTTGCCGTGTCAAAGCATCCATTGATGGACCATGCGCCACCAGAAGTACTGTTCCTATAAAGGTAAATTGATTGAATGACTCTAATTACAAACTTCTGCAAAATACATATTTTTCTTATTTTACTTATATGTATATCCTCTGATTACTCATGTTTGCAATGAAAGTATTCCAAAAAGCAAATCATCGAAACATCCCAGTTTAAATAATATACCATCTTGTGATAATTGTACCTTCATTATGAACGGACAGTATTTTGCGAACCAATGAAAAGGATCTTTCATAAAAATCGTTCAGTGTTTCATCTGCGCACAGCTCATTTGGTTTTAGCAAAGGCATATAATAATTATTGATCGGATAGCCACTACGGCTAAGCTCTTCTGGCGTCATCCAGGATGGAACACCATTTCGGCACCAATGCATCCACTCATAAAGTCCCGGTTCAACATTGATTCTCAATGTACGACTATCCATACCTATAAAGACTTCAAAGGAGTTTGTACCAGTGCTGACATCAAAAATCAAAAAATTAAAAACAGCGACCCCAGCTTCAACAATGAATCACACTTGACTGTTTACTAATACAATCTATGTGCGTAAAAACAATAAAGGAACATTCAGAATCAGGAACTTAAAAGGAAACCTTTAATGATCCCAACAGCAGTTTGCACACATCGTAATGCAGCAGAGCAATAAACATGATCTATTTTTACGTCATGGTCTCGCAAAGCTCTGCCTAGAAAAACAATAATTGGTCTAATGCAGTGAAAGAGTGATTACATGAGAAACAACTCACTTTGAAAATAAAAAAAGAAAAAAACACGAGTAAAACTCTTTTTTCCATCCTGTATTGTTGTACCTACTCAATTTTAACTCTGACCACAAAAGTTGAACAATTAATGTAAGAGTCTTTCAACACCCGTAAACATACATCTTGCAAAAAATTTGAGAGATAAAAAAATGTGAATCATAGTTACGGTGATAACCTTAAAATATTGTGAAATCAAAGACAAGATGAGGAAATGATGAAATTACAAACAGGAAAAGACAAAATAAAGCAAAAAATAAAATAGCAGTAAACATAAAAATGATAAAAATCAGGAAAAAACGACTCAAATCTATGGTTAAAATATAAAAGTTCTAAAAGGCAGGCCTCTCGAGAATAATCTATCTAACAAGCTATTATAGAAATTCGCCCGGTAGTGGAAACTAATTCAATAGATGGAGAGGTTATTTGTTAGGTCTCGTGTAAACAACAGTCAAAGCTTCGATATGATCATCGTATGAAGGACAGAAGTACTTCTGTCAAAATTTGTCTATATTTAATTAAAGATCTTTTAAATGAACAATAAAGTACCGTTATTATTATCAAAAACTGTATTTTTTTCGTATTTTTTTAAAGCATAGTTCCTGCAATTATGGAATATATAACAAAGTAAAAGAAGAGACAAAACATACATGTTGATAAGTATGAAGTACAAAGATCAATATCTAAAAGCAAAAACGGAAAACCCGTAAGTTTCGACTGCAAATAGCCCATTTCAGTCAGCGGTGCATCATATGCGAACATTTCGAAGCCATCTTTACGTTTTGGTAGATTTCTAGGTAAATTTAAATCAAACTGGTGATATCTCCCATTGGTATCGAAAGCTTGTTTCATCCAGCTAATTCCTAGAAATGAAAGAAGAAATTATATTAGGTTAGTGTGGCACTGAATTGTTTTCTAAATAAGGAATCCTGCCAGCAATACAAGTCTTTTTCTATCATCTAATCATTAAAAACAATGTTAAAAGCAAAGCGAAATCTGAAACATCACAATATGAGGCCAAACTGATAGAAATATCAGCATCTTTTAATTTTTGTAGTTGAAATTCTCCTGATATTCTACAATTAAATGCCATTATTATAATCCCTACTTTAAAGGGAAATCATATTGAAGTTTCTCCCTTTTCATTAATTAGGATCAACAGGGAAATGAGCACCACATATAAGTTGGGAAAATATTCATCGATGAACAACAGTAACAGGAAACCTTGTTGGCTGAAGGTGAAATCGCAGCGTTCTCCGTGTCGTACCACTATCAACCGCCTTGGCGACTTCTCCATTTCTGATAATATAATTGTTGAAAATTTTATAAAACTGAAGCAAAATAAAATATCAGAAAATACTGTAAATATAAAGGTGATAAATCAAAAAGAAATGAAAATAAGTGAAGTGCGTACTCCGGAAGAATGCAAAAATTAGAAAAAGCAATCAAGCAAGCAGCACTAACAATTATATCGTGTGGATTCCGAAGTTGTTTTGTTACTCGTTGGCTTCGATGATGAATGAATGTGGTGGAACGGATATACTTCAAGAGTTGATATGTAAATTAAGTCCATTTAAATGAAGGTTACTGCCTAAGAAAGACCCTTACCCCGTTATTTACGAAATAACGTATAGTATCAATCACCGTGTGGTATTACATCTTGTCTACATTACTTTCGAGTGCTGATTATCGACAGTTTTTTTTCAAAACTAGGTACTAAATATTAAACTTGCTTGTAGTGAAATTTAATCGAGACATATTAAATTATGAACACCGAGTGTAATGTGATTCACTTTTATTTAATATCATGGTTTTTAAAAATTTTCAATTGAGTAAAGCTGAAACACACGAAAAACTTATCGTAAGTATCGAAATGCCAATACTATAGGGAAATAGGATTCATCGAGAAATAAAATCTTCCTTGAAATCAAAATAAACAAACTGTTCGTACGCAAGCAAAAGTTCCAAGAAGCTGCTGCTAGTTGTTCGCTTTAGCCTGCACTGCAGTGAATAACTGTGGCTCAATTTTAATTACGAAAAAAAAGTTTTTTGACGAACACTCAAGATCAGAAACATCGAATTCGACCCAACTAGCTTTCCACACACACCATTGGAATTATTAGCCAGAGTACTACCGAACTTTATATTTCAAATATTTCAGTGATTCTGACTTTCCAAAAGTAAAGAAGAACGTACTTCTCGTGGTCTCAGACTGTTATCAAATGCCTCCTCCTTCCCTTAAATTAATATAACAAATCTCTTAGAAACCAAGGTATCACTACCAGCATAAGTTTATGGTCACGGTCTCACTGTCTACAATATTTAGAACTTACGGAAGCTTTCAAATAAATACATAAACAATTAGTTATTATACCCTAAAAACGTCCTCACAAAAATGAACTGCAATTTAGCAAAGGGAAAAAGAGAAATCAATCATAACATCACAAGGAATAACAGACAGTTGAATTTATACAGAGATGAAAAAACCGAAAGACTTTGCAAGAACATTCACATCCTATATTCATCATATTTCACACATGACTCAGTGGTTTGTCCTGCTGGGTAATGTTTTCACTGAGAGTAAAAATATTTATATGCAAATAAATATATAAACAATTAGTCATTATATCCTAAAAACGTCCTCACAAAAATGAACTGCTATTTAGCAAAGGAAAAAAGAGAAATCAATCATAACATCACAAGGAATAACACACAACTGAATTTATATAGAGATGAAAAAAGCAAGCAAGCAATATAAAGTATACAAGGAGCTAATTTTTTCGAGATCTCTATTTGTACGAGAACTGACTCTACGAACCTACTTCACATGCAACTTTTGACAATCTTTAACCCTTCTGCGAAAAAACTAAAACTCGTCAGAAATATATTTTCTTTCTCAGTTTTTCTCACTAATTTAAAAAGTTTGTGGAAATTACGGATGGATTTAAGAATGCTAGTAAAGGAATAAAAATTAGCACGAATTTATACTTTTTTATTCTCGAAACAGTGACGTTCGAAAAAATCAAACTACCGGTTAACATGAAATGAATCACTGAATACTTGCCTGCATCTTATAAATGTGCTAAAAAAATTTTCTTTCAGTTATGCAACTTCCGAAAACTGTTACATAATTTTGGAAAGCGCCAGCTGTCGATTTTCACGTGATAATCGAGAGATTTCCTCACCCAGAGTGTCAATGTTATTCTGCAAAATAGCTGATGACTTTCCTCGGAATTATTTAATTTTTTTATTAGTCAGCTAAACCCAGCCAATTTACAGTCAAATATTTTATGATTTGTCTTACCTTAAGTGTGATATTTTTATGCAGAGCATCTTCCAGCACAGCTTGTAAGCGTGAGTTTACTTCCGTTGCAAATTTCAATTCAGATTTTGCAGTGGCACTACTAGCACTGCTTGCAAATAAATTCCCTATTAAAGAGGACGAAGTACTGTTATTACCATTAGGTCCACGTGGTATCTGTAAAAGTTTCCAGTCATTTTGAAGACGAAACGAAATTAAAAACCAGCCATGAATATGGAAACTTCGTGCAAATAGAAAAAGTTTTTCTAGAAACAATCAAGGCAGCAATATCAATTACATTGCGGATTTGGCTATTTAGATGTTACTGTTCTTCATATCATCTATCACATATGACATACGCAATAACGAACAACGGAATACACAACCACAACAAAATACAAAAACAGCATTCGTTTGACTTTTATCCTCGTTTTCATTTTCAGGAAAAACTTCATATGTTACTTTCTTATCAAGTATTTAGAAAGTTATGCAATACAAGTCTCTCTACTGCAATTTCGCTCAAACCACTATTTTTTGCACTGAAAAAATCCGCACCTTCAAGTGAAAAACAGTCAAAAGCGGCTTCAATTTTAAACCGAATCCTAGGCTGAATTACAGATATTTTCAGTCTAAATAATCTTCATCCTTTCCAAATAATCATCACTCTTTCTTAAATTTGCAGTTGAGAAAAATGGGAAATAAACATAACACTAGTAACTTACTTCCGCGACTTCGCAAATTTCCAACAACTGTAAACAAATTTCAAAATTAATGCACGAGAAAAATTCGCTTCATATCGTTTAATAACGATCCTAAGATTAAGGAATGAATACAAGCAAAATAAAGTAGTCTTACCTTATTCAAGTCACTCTCTGGTAACAACAAAGATGCCTCCTCTCGCAGTGCGTAATTCTGAATAATCCTAAAAGTACGAGTCAAACAATGTCAGGATAAAATTTTGAAAAACAAACAGTTATCGTCCCACAACTAATAATAACCAAACATAATGTCGGTTCTGACCATACTTGCACTATTATTCAGAAAAGTTCATAAGTTAACAATATTATGAAATAAGACCGCAAAATTATAATGGATGTAAGCCGAAAAATTATTGAAGTAAAAAACATATTCTTCTTATTGCTTCCTCCTCCCTTACTCAACAAAACGCTACACTATAAATTCTTTACTTCGTTTTCTTCAATAGTTCCTGTGTGCACTGCCGAACGTGTTCTTCGAGAAATTCTATCTTATCTTGTCGTCTAACCAACTGCCGCTGCAGCTTCACAATCTTCTCAACCACTTGTTGTTGCATATGATCTGAAACAAAATTCAGTCCTTCACATTCTAAATCAGTCTAATTTTTAAAGCGCTTTTCATGCAAAAGTAAAAAGTACAAAAAAATGACAAATCTATGAAAACACATATCACAGCATAACAGCACCCTACTTACTTGCTTCGTCTGACGATGGTGATGCTAGAAATTGCTGAGATTCCTTTTGATGAGCAGCAGCTCGATTGATGGAACAACCAGTAGCCAATGGACATATATCAGTGTAAGAAGCAATCGACGATGCTCGTGACGAAGTGGATGGACCCACTGCACCTGTAAATAATAACATAATATGAAAATCAAGCCTTTTTCTAATTATGTTATGGCATACTGATTAAACTGGACATTAGCGGAATTTCAAGATTTAAAAAAAGAACAAATAATGCTTCTACCGTTAGGCAGTACGGTAAGTGATAAATTATTTTCTACTGATGCATTTGGTGAGGATAAATTTGGGCTTCGAGACTGCAGTTTACGCAAATGCTGCACTTCAGCGCGTAATTCCTGTAACAAACTTTAAGTCAACTCCACAATTCAAGTATAAATTTATTGTAACATTCTTCCTAAAAGTTACTTAGCTGCTAGAATTTTTAGAAAAAATAACCTTCAGAGAACTAGAATTCTTTTTCTTCAGTATTTCCTGTTCATTACGAAGTTCATTAATTACTGCATTCAATTTCTGTTCTGCAAATCCAAAGATTTACAAATAATAGTGTTGCAGAATCTCAACCTCAAGATTTGATTCCTTTACATTCATTTTTGCAGTCCAGTTACCACTCTCACAGTTTGAACGATGAAGTGTTGAAAATAATAACTGATACAACAAAGAAGTTTTAAAATCAACAAAAACACCTTTAGCAATATTTGTATCAATTTGCTGTCGTAGCGTTCCAATCTCTGCAGAACTATCAACTTTTAATAATTCTAATTCTCGTTCTAGCTCAACAATATGTTTTTCGTAAGTTGACACAGAAGATTCCAATGTCTTCACCCGTTGATTTAATTCCAAATTCTTGAAATTAGAAAGGAATGAACGAAACGAACTTAACCACCTAAATTTGAAGGCATCACAAACCCATATCTCATATCTACAAATTCAACATATTAAAGAAACAGCACATTAGTAATTATAAATTTATGTATAAAGATGAATACGGCATATGATTTAAGATTTAGAAATACGCAGTAACTGCTAATTTCTACAAGAAAAATGAAATCAAACCTTGAATCTAAGCACTTCTTGCTGTGAGGTTAATGAAGAATTCTTATCTGCTAATTGCTCAGTAATTTCGAGCATCCTTTCTGCCTGCTTTCGACATTCTGCCGCTTCTGTTTCTGCTTGATCACGTTCTGCAGCTGCGTCCATTGCCGCAATCTCTGCTAATTTAACACGGCGCAAATTACTGCAAAGAAAGACAAAATTTGCATAAGTTCACAAAGTAAATAGAGACTAAAATGAAACTTTGATTCAAATTTCAAGTCTTCGACTAGACTTATTTACAGTGAAATTTGTATAAAACAAACCTATTTAACTGTGTCTGTATTTCTTCCAGAGACTCTAACTTTTCTAAATCAACTTGATGAGTTTGACGAGCTTGTTCCAGTTTTTGACCCAGCTGTTGTGATTCTGCCTGCAACTGAGCGTTTGTTTGTATAACGTCATCGAGTTGTTGGGAGAGAGTAGAATTACGTGATCTGCAATCAAAAATCGTTTCTAAATCCATTTCTTCATACCTTATTATTTACTTGTTCACAACGCCCACTTATGTATTCGACTACGCGCACTGCTTCACGAGAAATCGCTTTCCCTCACCTAAGCGAGGCCAACTCATCGCATACATTGTTGTACAGTTCATCCTGATTGTTCGTTTTCTTTATCGCCGCATTCACTTCTTCGGCATACTGCTGTTCTAATGTCTGCAGTTGTTATACATATGTTTCAAATAACAGATGCCAGTCTTTAAAATACCTTTATTCTAAGTTAGCACAACTTATTAAATCAGACATCTCACATGATGACGGAAAAAATGTAGATAACAGATGTTAAAAAGTAGTGAAAAATTCAACTTTAGATGTTTTTGAGCAACTGCGAATTATTCTGTCCAAAAAGTCGATCTGGCAAATGTTTTTTCATGCTCGGAAGATATCTACTGCGAATGTAACATATAACAAGATCAAATTAGAAACGAACCTTTAACATCGCTTGTGTTTTCCTCAGTTTCTCCTGACATTCCTCTTTCTCCACTTGTTCCAGCGCCAACTGAGACTGTACAGATTCCAAACGAGAACGCAATTCTGTAAGTACCGTTTGACTAGCCTAAAAAAGACAGGAAAGGCAAGGTCATTTTTCTACTGAATAAGGTCGGTTGTCATTGTTCCTACAGAGATATTTCGCAATTATACTCGACTGGACTTGAATCACTGGCTAAAATTGAGAAAAAACTCAATGGAAATTGAATATTCACCATTCTCATGTAAAGGATTTCACTAAAAGTTCTGCGGGAACAAATTTAAATCATGAAGAAGAGTGATTCGAGAAGTTGATACCCTCAACATCAATAAATCTAGAACTTCAAGTAGAAGAACCAACTTCTAAATGTTTGACGGTCATTTTCTGTTGTTCCCCACGTTCTTTATTAGCTTCCTTTTCGAGTGCTAACTGCCGTTCCACTTCTGCCAGTGAATGTTTCTAAAAACAGAACTAATAGCAAGAAATAAGACCAACCACTGTAAAAATTCTATTACACCTACTAAAAACTGCGAAATATTTTCCAAAGTTTTATAAAAGTTAATTTCACTAATAAATCGTTTTCCACCATACCTTATTCCGTTCAGTAAAAGTAAATATAAATAAAAAATTTTTTGAAAAAAAGACTTTTTTATTGACAAGATTTTAAGATTTACCATATTTTGCAGATTTTCGAATTGAATGCTTTTCTGCAACGTATTTTTCTCTACTGATAGCATATTTTTCTGCAATAAAAAATTTTTTAAAAATAATCTTGAAGCATTTCAGAGAACTTTCACCTGCGTAACCATTTAACCAGATGACTGGTTAATATAATTTCAACAATGAATTTAAAAAGAAAAATTAAAATATGCCGTTGTTTGGAGTCCTGAAAACGGATGTATTGCAGTTTTGAAAATAAATTTTTGAAAAGACGGCTATCTACAAACAAATTTCAACAATGCAAGAGTCCGAACTGTTTTACCGCTATTCACTGATTTTCACTTTAAATTTCGCAAAACTGTTTGACTAAAAAAACACACGCATATGTGCCCATAAAAAAATACTAATATAAAATATACCTGCACTTCAAGTCCTTCTATCTGCGTTTGTAAGCGCATTAGCTGCGTTTCTCTTGCCGCATACCGACAGACAGCATCATTCTTTTCTTTTTCGATTGCTGCTGTCCTTTTCAATAGCTGCATTGAAGAGCATAAAATATAAGACATACTGGAATAGAAGAAAAAAACCAGCATTATGCAAAACCAAATATTCACTATCGTTTCTTTGAATTATCATCCATATTTTCGCCCAAATTGGTTTCAGAAGGAATGAAAATTTGCTTATAATTAACATACCTGCACATATTTTTGTTCCCATTTCTCGTCATTTTGTTTTATGCGTTGCTGATAATGTTGCTCACGTGCCTCGGCACGCTGAGTGGTCATCTTTAGTTGTAATTCCACTTCCATTACCCGACGTTCCAAACTTTCACGATAAGCAGAGAACTCACTAGAATGAATATAAGAAATACAAGAAATTATGCTAAAAATATTAAACAACCAAAAATTTTCAGGTAGATTCGAGCTGCTGGAGGAGGTGGATGAGCGAGTGCTTTAAGTCAGATGAAAAAACCTCCGGCAGGTGTTAAGCACTTTCTGAGCACCACCATATTCTCGTTTCACTTTTTGTAATTGTTCTTCCAGTTCACTATTTATTTTCTCTAATCTGAAATTTGCGAATTTAAAATTAAATTTAAATCTTCTAGACTAATTGTGTGAAGCTTAATTATCGATTCAATGCAAAAAAAAGTAGTCAGAGCAAATTATAAGTTGTTCCCAAGCTATGAGTTATATGAATCAAAAATCGGAAAAACTTCAACAGCTTTCAGAGTCTTCCGTCTGTAAAAAACCACAATACAATTTATGGTAACAGCAAGGTCTTGATATAAAGCACTGAATGAAAAACTGACCTCTCTAATTCATTGCACTGTGCGTTATATTTGTCGTACAATAAAGCAAACTTCTCCAGATTGTTTTCCGCTATACTTCCCGCCATAGTGGTCTCTGACAAAAGCTGTAACTCTTTGAACATCCTTAGTCAAAAATTTACCAATCAAAATAACTCAGTAATCTGCATGAAATGACCCAAAAATAATAAAGATCACATATTATTAACTTTTTTTCCACCATTCTCTTGCAGTTCCAATTTTTCTTCAAATTGTTTTTGCCGTGTTATAAAGCCATCATCCAATTCATTTATTTTTTTCGAACAATTCGAAACATCATCCCCGGATTCATTCATTATTTCAACTGTTTTCGAAGTTCCAACAGTTTAAGCTGAAGATATAGCATTTGTTTCGTCACTCGATATGCCAAAAAATGGATGCAGTCAGGGAATGTATAGCTTCTGAAGTTTCATATTTTTTAGTTAAATACTAATGGAAATAATGTAACTTCAGGCCACACAAATGAACCCCCACCTAACGCAAACACACCCCTCCACAGGATATGAGAATGTAGCCTACCCACACAATATCACGGGCCATCAGTTGGTACCATCCCCTAAGCTGTAAGCTTGATGGCCACAGAGTTATCCCATAGCTAAGTTGGTGGATTGCATCTTTTACTTTGCTTACATATTCTCATATGTGGCACCCGTCAAGCTCCTGAATATCTGAAGGCTGTGGGAACATTGAATGGGAACGATATGAACTCTCCTCTCCATCTTAATCTGTGCGTTATCGAAGAAAAAACAAATTTATTGTTAGAATATACAGGAGTATAATGAACACATGCTTGGGGTTAATATCAATCGTTTTGCAAAAAATTTTAAATAACGCAAAAGTGAAAGAACGAAGTAGAGCACATTAAAAGTGAAAGAACGAAATATAGCACATTAATATCAAAATTTTGGAGGCCAAAGGGGACGGAAAGGATCTCATGAAAAAAAAAGTCGTTATTAGAATAGAGAAATAGCAGCCTCACGTACTTGAATTTTAAGCAGAGAAGAAATCACCTGCGTCACCATCAATGTTTCAATAAAGAAATCCCATTATCTTGCAAGTCAAGTTCTTTAGATAGTTTTCTAGGATTTCAACTCGAACTGGGAAACGTCGAAAGCAATTTTACATCGCTATCATAAATTTCAAGGGATACTACCGCTGCATAAAAGAATTAAATTACAACAGATCGGGTGGCAATTCTAAAATAACGGAAATCTCAGTACAACTAGTTCACTTAAACAGGAAATTCCGACAGAAATAAAAGTGGAAGACACAATGTAAAACCAAAACGAAATTAGGAATAATGATGCTTTTTCAATAAACAGATTCCTGGTTCTAATCAATCCAACGCAGAAATCAAACATAGATATAAAACAACATAATTAACTAATTCGGCATTGCATGAAGATACTTCCATCTATGCAATAACATCAACATACGCATGATCTGATTGCGAATGTACATGACGATAATAAACTCATTCATCCAAAACAGAATGTGTATTTTGATTTGCGCCATGCTCGATTCTAAGGTTTATCTTGATGACAGCTCAGTAAGACGTTTTCAGTATAGATATGTGAATACACACGCCAAGCACTCCAAGTTTATCGATGATATTGCTCACTAGGTTTAGTCATGTTTGACGCATCATTAGTAAAGAGGATTAAATTCACAAAAATCGGAAAATGATGCACTTGTAACAATTAAAAGCAAAGCGAATTCCAGCTATAAACAAATGTCTGAAATTTTTATCTCATAGAACAAGCCAAATTTGTTTTCGAGTAATCCAATACTCTCGAAAATTTGTTCGAGAGACAATTTAAAAGCAGTCACTATTTACATATCATGAAAATTTCAGGAAAACTGAAGACTAAAGCCGGAACTTTTGAAATAGTGAAAATTACAGAAAAAAATGTTCCATAATGAAGTGTGAATACAAATGTGTATGTGGCTTTAACTAAAACTAAGTATGTAGCGATGTCTGAAATGCGACAGCATTGACAATTTCCGACCAACTGTCAATCTGAAAAAATTTTAAAATATTTGAAGAAATGAACTGATAACACAACGGCAGACTTACATAAAATGCGTGTATCTGATTTTTGTACTAACTGGTTTCAAAGTTAAATAAATCAGCTCATAAACAAATAAACAGATCTCAACAGGTGTAAGGACAACTTAATATAGCCTAAATACACGTTCAATTGAATAAATCAGTGTCTGCAAGTAGCTAAAGTGAATTCAAGCGTGTAAAAATGCTAGTAATAATAAACAACATACGCTTACCCAACTGCAAAACCGATCGCGAGTGTAACCAAATTTGTCACTAGATAAAGCACCAGTGCACGACGTCCATTACAACCATTTATGCCCAGCAATCCACTAAAGGTCCAACGTCCTTTTTTACAAACTTCTACAAAATATTGAAGTGGTTAAGAAAACCAATAAAAAAAACGGATTTATATTGCATGAAGCAATTCACATGAAATCCTATACCATTTTCCTCAAAAAGTTTGTAGACACAGTTCAGCATAACAGTAAGATGCCTGAATGAAAAGATGACATAAATGCAATATGTTTGGAGACATAGGAATACATCTTCTGCTTAAGAAACATGCTAAGCGATCTTTCATAAACCTTTTTAGCATGCTTTACAGCTAGTACTAACTCTTAAACGATTAATGTTAACGGTTAAGGAACACAACCGTAACGTTGAAATGAATGACAAACTCATCTATATCACTTAAAAGAAATAATCACATACCTTTTCCAATATAGTCGACCTTTCGGCATCTGCACATGTAAGCACCATCATCCTCAACGCTTAATTCCTCATCTTCATCTTCACAGCAGCTGCTCTGAGTGAGCTCTCCGACGTCTAATCCATGAACAAGACTATTTGGTGGAGTCGACATTTCTGTTTCTACCGGTGATGGAATTTGAGGACCACTGAAGATTTTATGCTGATTAAATTCGGAAAAATTATAAATAAAGATCAATAAAGAAATAAACAGTAAATTTAACTATAAATGAAAGGTCAAAGTGAAAAATAAGATAACAAAATTAAAGTGGTTTTGGTCCGAAACTCATTCAATACTGAGCGTTCAAGCATTTCAATCAAAAAGTCATATTCCTTCTGGGAATGGCTGAGAAACCAATTCTGTAAAAATACAGAATCAAATGATGTACTCAACAGCGAAAGACGCCACATTCTCATTTCTCAGTTTTAATTCCAATTTTATTTCATTTTCTAACAATTTGAAATTTTAGCTGAACTAACCCTCTCTGCACCTCCGGTCGACTGTTGTAATCTTCTAACCATTCAACTGTTCTCTTCGTCCCTTGACCCAATCCATTTATTCCAGTAGTCGGAACAGTGCAACGTCCTGGTCCATGGCGAGCATAATAATGAACCGCCATTGTATCACCGCCATGAACTTGTCCAGCATCGACAACCAATTCAATTGGAGCACTGCAACCACTAATCGGACTGCAAAAACTTGTACAATAACTAAATAAAGTATTACCTAAGGTATTATTTCACATTTCAGATATGAAACTTTTCTGTTTAGCTGTCAGGACACTTCTACTAAAGATGAATTTGGTTCGCTAGCTGTGAAGCAAACGTACAAAAGGGTAGGGCACAGTTTCAATAAATTTAAGTGAAATATATGAAATATGAATAATACCTTAGTCGGCTGAAAGGACTACCACTGCCTCCACCAACAACGACAGTCGTATTATCAATGCCCATAACCACTCCGTCACTATCTACCATTATCACACTACCATTATCACCGCCATTCATACTAACCATGGATGCACGTGACGATGGACTAGCCAATTCCACCCATGAATCCGCTTAAAAATATGGATGGCAAATTAACATATGCATGAACTTGGAGAACAAAAAAGGAACAGGGATGCTGATGACAATTATCCCAGCTAATTATATATGAAACGTTTAAATATCTGAGATTTAGACGCCAAACGAAGAAAATCCTCAGCTCCGATTGAATTATGCATACTGACATTTGTTAGATTCATTATCCACATCAGCATTGGGTAACTGCGGTTGTGGTTGCTGTACAGATCCAGCGCTGTACAGAAGACTTTTATTACCAATATCTTGTCCATTTCGCAAAACTTCCAAACGACTATCCAGTGACCGAATACTCATGTTGTTGTATCCACTACAATAACGAATTTTTTTGCAAATATATTAGCAAGGAACAAATTCACAAGCTTCATATGGTTGAATAAGGAGTGGCAGATCGAAAACTATCATTCGGTTGAAAGTGCCTCAATTATTTTTACGGTAGTAGTGAATGAAAAAAAAAAGACCACTAATTTGTACATTTACATAAATGACTATTCAAAAATGCCACTGTATACCGGACAAATTTTTACTGGAATAATAAATTTTATATTACACACAGTGTTTCATATCGGATTTAGCAAAAGACATATGATCGTTAATCACTGTTAAGAAACAATCACCAAAGATATCCAGCCTTCCGTATATAATGGCATTACTCCATACTGCCACGAAAGACGTGCAACACTCCTCTAAAAAAGCCTACGATGCTGTTACTGAAACCGTTTTGTTTAATCTACTGCAAATCAAGATACCAGTGATTCCAATAGCTAGGAATCCAGCACTTAGCTTAGCTGTCAACTACAATAGCAGAAATATAAAATTGTCAACTCTCTATCTCGGAGACATTGCTTAAGTCTTATCAGACATCCTTTAGTCTACTCCTATCCTTTTATCATCCACTTTGTGAGACCTAAACCACTGAAATATTTTTTGGAGGTAGAGAAAAAAACATTAGAAATCACTGAAAACGTAGATAAAAAAAGGAGTAAGAGCAAAAGAGACTGAAGACCAGTGGTTGGTAGAATTTCAGGATGTGATTCACGAACTGCCGACCAATAACACATCAGCCCGCCTTCCCTTCCACTTTTCCATCTGCTAACGCTAACAGCTCTAAAACAATACTAACACAAAGAATGGAGCAGCTTATTGATTCCTGGCCATTCAACACCCTGCCGAGAGTGGTGCAGAATGGTAGCTGTGAGTGGATGCGTGGTAGTTGCTGGATCGGTCCTTTCGCATTATGGCTAGCACTCTGCCAGACGTTTGCCTTCCTTTGCAGTAATCAATTAACTTCTAGAGGGTAATTTTCCGCTAGAGGCTATACCATCCCGAAAAGACATAGAGGAAGAGACATGGTCACGTGGTCATTCCAAATGGTCTTATGTCAAGAAATCTCCCGTACTTAACGCTGAACCAAATTCTAGAAATTGGATAAGTCCTAAAAGTAAATTGGATAATTCTAAACCTGAACCGCAATGCAACTTTGAGTCTTAACAGCGAAGTTACCACGTTCTGAACATCGAAGGAATTTATGATGATAATGCGTGTAGGAAAGGGAAAGGGAGGGAGAAGAAGGAAAGCTGAAGTGGGCCAACGACGAATGATGGCAACTTTCGTCGGTTATTTCCTCCTTTCTAAGCATTCTCGTGCCGAGCACGTGAAGAACACAGCCATAAAAGCTGTAATGAGTGTAAGGATGAGAACAGAAAGAACAGATGGTTAAGATTTTCAGGTAAGTCGGCACTGCGAGTCACATTCAACAGCACCGCTGTAAACAGTTAAGTCAACTTGACCGCAGCTAAATAAAATGTTCTTGCTTAGCTTGAAACATATGGATATAACTCAATGTACTCTCTCACCACCCATTCTCAACGGCGATAAGGTAGGTGTGCGAGATATTTTGAGTGTGCCATTGTTTCCGCACTCTTCTTTTTCATATAAATCACGTAAGCAACACTACCATTAGCTTTGCATAAAGCCTTCGAATGATAAAGTTTCTGACCCAATTCGATGTACAGCGACGCGATATACAAAGTGACAGGAAAGCTTTATTACTGAAATAACAAACTAAAAAAATGAAAGACTTTATATAGGATAGCGTGTACGTCTGTGACACTTGACCCAAATCACTGTCAGAAGAGTTCGTGAATATAAGACAAGTGAACTCAAATATGTAATGGATAAGCATGTAAAAGACAGCTTATAACATATACATGAACAAACATAAAGTAAGGAATTTCGAAAACAAGCTGAAAGCATTCATATGATGTGTATTCTGTTGCTACAGTACTTTTCTCCGTCCCATGGTTTGTCCACGTATGTGTTCGTGCAGTAAATATGAATATGAAAATTTCTGTGAAAAGTATCAGCAACGAAACATCCAGCAAAACTCGTACTAACCGACTAACTGAGGTTTACAGCAAAGGTAGAAGAATGGAATGAAAGCTGTAGCATGTAAGCGCTTGATATGAGTAAAAGTCAATAATATATGACAACAGGAATGTCCATGTATTAACTTTCAAAAGTCAGTACAAATTGATTGAGACTTAATACCGGTCCCTTTTTAATTCAGAAGAGATGATGCTTATGTCTTGCCTTTCTGGTTGATGGATTGAAACATGTGATCGTTATGAATAACATGTACTCGTGTTCGTGACAATTTTTCCATGTCTTCTATCAATTTCAGTATCTAAACTAAAATGTGTAATTTAACACTCTTTTGATGACGCTTCTTTTTATGCGCTGTTTAGAATAGGAAAAGCATGCCATTATTCCTACCACTACTATTTCGATATAACACTGATTAATTCTTTCTGCTGCATGCATTTAAAAGGCATGGATTATGAAAACGAGGTTCGCAGACCAAGAAAAATAAGAAAAATTCTTTTTAGAAACAGTTAAAAGTTATTTAACAACTGATAATTATCCGAGAAATTTAATGATTAAAGCGTAATATTAAAAGCAAATAATATCCCAGACTTTCATCCCAGAATATCCGATAGCCCTTACTTATTTCAAAACTTTGTAGTGAATATTCAAAACAATTAGATACATTTGTAATTCGGAGAACTATCATTACAGAAATTCTTGGAGAAACCTTAATAATTATACTAGTCATGCTAAGAGGCTAAAATTTCTGTTATTCAATGTAGGAAGCATGACAAATAATAAGTCATTCTAAATTTTGCCCTCTCACAGGCATGACAGTCATACAATGATTTCTAACAACAAGCCGGCTTACACCTACTAAAGTTATGGTGCAGTGTCAAGCGTAATAGTATGAGATTTGCGAAACTTATGATAGTTTCACTGCAATAATGGAAGCAAGTAAATTATGGATTACATTGAGATAAATATATAAAAAGCAAGTCGTAACACAAACTGCCTGTTAATGGTAGTGCAAATTGATCACGGATAAATAATAAATACCGCGCTTTTCCTAGCATATCCTATAAGAGAAAACTGATCTCCGATCGAATAGTGGACGAAAACTGCGGAGGGAAAGTGTAATTAATAGAAAGTTTCGTTTTTAATTCCTCCCTGCTTGAAAGCTTGAACTGTTATTCAAAAACAAACGGAGAAGACGGCTGCATAATAACACCCTAAAAACCCTAAACAATACTTGTAAACACTTTTAACTACTAATCATCGATCGATTAAGGCTTTACAGATTCTGCACCTCGTCTATCCCGAAATGTGCGTAACATGTAGAAACAGTATAACGGATAGAAACTATTTGCCTTATCAGTCACTATCTCCAATTTAAATAGCAGCTGCAATAACACTTTCATATAAAGTGGCCAGATTCAACTACCGTCATACCTGTCTGCCTCAATCTATTCTCATTACGTAAGCCTAATGCTTTCTTTTGCATCGCTGAATTGCCAGTTTTCTTACGCAAAATAAGTCGTTATCGATAATAAATCATTGCAGATAAAGAGGAGCATAAAGTACGGTCGAACTGATTTATTTGCTTTCCGGTTTAAATTGAAAATACCCCACGTTTCTTCGCACTTCATATAGCTTCATCCTCGTTCTTCTCCATATTTGCATGATAGTGGGAAGTAATCCTGTGCAGTGAGCCGTCTTCCTCGATGTATCGAAAAGCAATTTAATCATAGGTGCGCATGATTACCGCACTTTACTGCCGCTGGCTCGGCCTCCCTCAAAAAGAAGTTTACGGTACATACGCAAGCCATTTTGGCGGAAGTGCTGATTCTGATTTGGCCGGTGCGTACGACACCACTTCTATTCCCGACCTTCTCTTTATTGACTCACGCCGACTTTTGATCTCTCGTATGCTTCTTCTCCTATCAACTAAATGACTCCAAATAAGTCTGAATGAAGAGACATTCTCTTGGTATCACTCTCCCAATTTCCTAACTAATACAGCCTTTGTTTTACGTTGAACAACGCTATCATATGCTGCTCGGTCACGCGATGAGATGATAATCTTCCTTATCTTCCTATATGTAAAGCTCGACCGTTACTAACTGGAATGCAGAGCTTCAGATGGCGTCGCTCTAACACTAATATTTTTGTAAGGAAGGAGAGGGCTAAGTTTAAGTCTGGTTGTGGAATCAATGAATGAAATTTTGGTTGTAGTTGATAGATTGAATCACCATTCCGGCATGATTGCTCTTTCCATTTTCATGCTCAAGAGTTGGAAGAAGATGTAATCATTGCGCGTCTTTTCTACTGATCATCGTGTAAAATTAGTTTGCAAAATGTTTAGATTACGTTATCGATTCCTATTCTCGAATGGGAAATATCCCGAACAGCAGCTGTTACTTGTTATGTCATTGTTTTGTTTGTTTTGCACATGACAAATGCAGTGGGATGCGAAAGAGGAATTAGAAAGAAAGAGAGAGAGAGAGAGAGAGAGAGAACGATGAAATGTTAAATTGAAAAATAGTCGGAGAGATTCACTTTTGTCGACGTCATTCTGCTGCGTGCATTAGCGGAATCAACTACCTCCATTTATCCTTGAACATTTCGTTGATGTCGTCTTTGATTACGTTTCATTTTGCAAAGTGTTCTTGTTGGTTTAGTTTATAATTATTGAGCAGAATTGAGATGCAGTTTTTATTTGCCTATCAGTGGTTCTCCGTGTGATTTTTTTTTTTTTTTGGTCCTCTTACTAACGACGTAACGGAACGGAACAGTTGACTTCATAAGCTCATTTAACAATAGTTATGTATAACTCTTCAACATAGTTTGTGCAATCACTGATGCTTCCACCATATTCATGACTTTTCTACTACAGGATTGTGATGATCTTAATTAAAACAACTGTTTAACTGTTTAACTTTATTTTTTTTCATGCTTTCATACTTTTAATTCCTTAACACTTTTATTAATCCTACAAGATTAACCTAGTGCGTCAGTATATGATTAAATTTACTGAGTTTAAACGATTGTGTATTATTCTGTTATTGGTGAACGTTAATTTGCGCAGAGCACAAGAGAGAATTTTGCAGATTCCAAGTGCTTTTAGAAAAGAAGGAAAGAAAGCAAACAGTACGGAGAATGTTAGGTATAATGACAGAATCCACCACTGCTGTACCAAATTGGGAAGAGAAAGGTGACAGCAACAGTGTAGTAATTGATTCAGAAGTTGAACGGTCGAAAGATGAAGCAATGGAAGAGGTATACCGTTTTTGATTGCATTAGAAAGTCTAGAGATTAAGAATATCTTTTTCATTTTAATGGAAAAAACGTATTTTTACTTTTGATTTCTTCAGTAGATCTGCAAGTGCATCATTCATACGCTTATTTTATGGTTTTCATGCAAAATGTTGCATTATTCAATAACTTTTCTTTTGACTTTAAATTTCAGGTATCGAAGTCGTTCTCATTACCAGATCATCCAGCTCCAATACAAGTCATTGAAAGCCTTGATGAGCAACATCAGTTTCGTTTAGATGAAGAAGCGCTTGAGAAGGTTCTTTTGAGTCCAGATGTTATCGACAAGAAGGTACGTTTCAAAAAGCTAGACCTCATGAAATTACAAAATATTATATTATTAATTGTGGTTACTCGATCTTTTATTTCCATGAGAGTTAGTAGTTCTTGTTAGTAGTTCAAATGCATTACTTTGTAAATTTAGAGTGTTTAAGATTTAGTATCATACAAAAGACGAAATGCTTCTAGAAGTCGAGTAAAACGTTAACTATAGTAAACTATATGAAACAGTTTGAGATTTGGCTCATGTCCATATAAATATAAATTAATATATAGGTGTCTGTAATCAGCGTGGCGGGTGCGTTTCGGAAAGGAAAAAGCTTCCTTCTGAATTTCTTTCTACGTTATCTGGATGCTTCCGAAGAGAAGCGACGCTCTGGAGATTGGATTTATGATGGTGATCGTTTGGATGGGTTTAGCTGGCGAGGAGGTAAGTGGATAACCTTGGGTATGGTTTGCGGTTTGACAAACAAGTAAATGGAAACTTAGTTTTGTGTTTTTAGGTAGCGAACGTGAAACTAGCGGTATCTTAGTGTGGTCCCGACCGTTTATTATGCGCAATCGAGATGGTGAAGATACAGCTATTATATTGATGGACACTCAGGGAGCTTTTGATAGCCAAAGTACCGTAAAAGACTGTGCTACTATTTTTGCCCTTTCAACTATGATTTCTTCCTTGCAGGTTTGTACTTTTCAATTTTTACATTGTTTTCTTACGGTCTTTAATGATAATTTAAAAAAATTTGTTTCCCATGCTTAAAATTTTTGTTGCAGATTTATAATTTGAGTCAAAATGTGCAGGAGGACGATTTACAGCATTTACAGTTGTTTACCGAATACGGCAGACTGGCACTGGAAAACACACCAGCTAAGCCATTCCAAGTGAGAGAACAGTATTTTTTAAATTTCTGCTACCATTATTAAATTTGCTGAATTACAATATTATTTAACATAGTGTATCCTATAATTTTAGTCATTATTATTCCTAGTACGTGACTGGAGTTTTCCATATGAAGCAGAATATGGCTTCCAAGGCGGTGAACGACTGCTCGAACGTCGTTTGCAGGTAGATACATATTTTTTTGACTTTTAACTTGTTTCGCAGAAGTTTGTTGGAGCTAAGTTAATAAAATAAACCAGTTTATAGGTTTCCGAAAAACAACATTTAGAGTTGCAACAACTGAGGCGGCATATACGTTCATGTTTTGAACAGATATCATGTTTTCTGATGCCTCATCCTGGGCTTCGAGTCTCCACAAGTCCAGTTTTCCGTGGACAAATAAATGGTAGGAATCAGTTTTTTTCTCCTCTTCTATTTCCAATAACCGGAATTGTTACAAATTGTTTTGTATTCATGGCTCAGCTTTTTAACTCTTCTACAAATCCTTTTGCACTTTCAATGTTTTAATTTGTTTCTGTTGCAAATTTGGTGGTGACAAAAAAACTCATAATTCGTTGACTTTCTACGGTCCGAATCTTCGTTTCTACTTCAAATAACGAAGGTCAAGTTTATGAGATCAAGGCATTAAGTTATAGATATTGAGAATGAATTTCAACAACAGCTACGTTCTTTTGTTCCGCGTTTGCTAGACTGCAATAATTTGGTATTAAAGCAAATTAATGGCCGAGAAATAACTTGTCGCGAACTAGTGGAATACTTCAGAGTGAGCGTTTCTTCTTTTTTAACGTTTGGTTAGTATGTAAATATATAAAAAGTGTGAATAACTCACAAAAAATGAGTGTGTTATTTATAGGCTTACATGACAATATTTCAAGGAGAAGACTTGCCAGAACCAAAATCAATGCTGATGGTTTGTTATTTCTTGCCTTTTTAATTTTTAAACTATGAGTTGAAAGTTGAATGTATTGAAAAGTTTGAAGTTTCAAAACATTTTTGAGGAATATTTACAAAATCCAGGAAAAGCTGAAATAGATCAAAACGGACTGATTTTATTTGTTTAAAGGCTACTGCGGAGGCAAATAATTTGGCAGCAGTTTCAACTTCTAAAGCTCATTACGTGAGGAGAATGGAAGATGTGAGCTTTTTCATTTTTCGGTAACGGGTAATTTTTTGCGGTTGTCTGCTATTTTTTTTCGGACTGTCACGTCATTTAAAATCAATCTTTGGTTTGTTCATTTCGAAATATCTGGACTGCAATGATTCTGTATTTCATTTAGAATCCTCTTACAGGTCTGTGGTGGTGATGCACCGTACATGAATTCAGCAGACTTAGCAGCAGAGCATGAACGGTGTTACAAAGAGACCATTAATCTGTTCAAAGCAACGAGAAAGATGGGTGGCGAAGAATTTTCCGAACAGTTCTTGGAAAGACTGCATATTGATATTGAAGCATGTTTTCTTTTTTGTAGTCTTAAAAGGAGCATGTGAACAATGAACAAGCACATTTGTAAAACAATTGATGGATTAACACATACATGTTAAAATTCTGCAGGAACAGTATGAAAGTTTTGTCAAAGTGAATAACAGTAAGAATTTGTTCAAATCGATGCGAACGCCTGCTGTGTTGGTAACATTTATGATCGTAGATTATGTGCTACAAGAATTTTTCCAATTGATTGGTCTGGATACCATCGCAAGCCTATTTTCTGCTGCACTCTGCATTGGTTAGTCGGTTTTTGAATTTTAATTCTTGCAGTGAATCGTCCTATTTTACATTCTGTTGTGGACCAATTTATGTTTCTTATTTAACGAACTATAGTGCTTTGGAATTATTTTTCAGCTGTTGTTTCACTTAGTATATGGGCTTACTCAAGATATAGCGGTAATATGAGAGATATCGGTGGTATGGTTGATGATACAGTTACATGGGCTTGGCATAATTTCTTGTCATCATTGACTCAAGAAAGCATGCACCGTGCTGTTGCTATTGGACATCGATTAACGCAGGTTATACTGCTCATTTGTTTTTTTTACACCCATTTCAACGAAAGAAAAACTCTGAGATCAAATCCTAGTTGAATATATGCTGGTCTGATTTTTTATTAAGAAATAAAAATCTTTCTCAGAACTTATCTCAGTATACAAAATATAAATGAAATTTCTAGTTAAAAGTTAATCGGACTTTCAGAACGGTACAGCACTGCATAGGAGGCATACAGGCGATCGAAAAGATAAGAAGAATTCTTGAAAGCGTTTTATAGATTTCACAGATTTAATTTGTAATTTTTCTCAAATGACTGGCAGTGACTCAGTTATATTAAGTGATTCATGTCTTGATTAGTTACTTTTCTTTTATTTCATTCTTGCATTTGAATATAGTTCGGGTTATCGTTTTCTTTTGAAATGAACTGTTATTCATCACAGCCAGTCAGTTTCAGTGTTAGGAACTTCTGTATCTGTTTATCAAATTGTGTCCTTATCTCTGTTTCATTTATATGCGTATATTACTGGAATGTAAAGAATTGAGAGTTCAGAGCTTTAAGGAGTAAAACAATTAATTTTTTTTATAGTAATTTTTTTTATATGTACGTCGGTTGAAATATACATTATTTTTTTTAAAATGATTTTATAAATCCAAAGGGTTTATAACACTGCTAAGAGCATCTTTTATTCATGATCGTTTTAGAATTTTATTTAGTAAATTATATAATGTTTCATATTTTCACTAAATTAGCTCTCAATCACTTTTCGCATATTGTAAATATATGCAAATTATGGTCATTTTCCTGAAATAAGTGCACTATACAGAATAGTTTGTCTTCCTTTTGTTTTGTGGTTCAAGTATTTCAACACATTTATTGTCATATTCATTGGAATTTATTATTTTCCGGTAGATCTGAAGGTTTAGGTTGAAAAATCCAAAAAAAAGATTTATATTTTACTTGGAAAAGAAGGTTTATTTTTTTTCGGTATATACAAAATTTTATAAAATATCGATTTCTCACTTGACATAAGGAAATATCGTCAGTATCTATCCGTCAATCCTCTTGTAATTTTGAATGTTGTGCTCTCGATGTATTGAACATTTGTGCATTGAGATTTCTTGAATTCTAAAGACTGGTAAAAGACTGTGAAGTTGATACGATGCCGCTGTGATCTGACATAATTTCTTTTTCTTGTTTTGAAAAAAATTCATCCCTGCTGCATTGCATCCAGAATTCGGGACATATATCCATGATTAACTGGAATTTAATGATTCATTATGTTCTACATAACTTTGGAATGTGAAACATTGTTAGCCATTTCGGAATGTACCGAATAGCCGCTTTTGCCCTTTTTGATTTAATGCTTGTTGCCTTGTTCTATCACTTGTGTTGTGGAGTTTCTTCATCCCGAACTAACAGTTACCGATGGATTTCATGATCCATTTAATGCTTCTTACCACTCATAATTCTCATGATCTTAAAACACGACGGTGTTATATGGATGTAATTTTTTTGTGAGCTCGGGAAGGTTTAATCTCTTAAGATTATTGGAATGTGCCGTACGGTTGTAATCCTTATCCGTTTTTTGTCAAGATCGCTGAATTTCTGCTTGCTTATTTTTCACTGAATGCTACTGGTCGTAAAATTATGTCAAAGGTTATATCCACCTATGTGATAATTTTTGCATCATCCTCTCAACTGATATTAATTGTTGTTTCATCTTATAAAATTATTAATGTATTCGAGTCAGGAACTATGTTTAAATTCAGTTCCAAAATAGAAAGTTTTCAAGTTGTAGTAAAAGCAGTAAGTAGTAATTATTTAAAGTCGGTCTCAAGACTAGCATTTCCAAAATTTTTTAGGCATTTATAGATAGATAGATGGTGCTTTAAAGATTTCCTACCTCTACGTTTACTTTATATTAATTATATGTAAAGTGAAAGATCTTATCGCTTTGTAATTATTGCTGTTATTATTGTTAATTTACTGTTGTAAACATATATGCGTTTTCGGATTTTATACCTTTGCAGTACACAGTCTAGAAATAAACACTTTTAATCATGACGCAGTCGCTTTTCCATTCCATAAAATTTATTTATGTTAAATTCTGATTAAAAGATTTCACCGAGCCATCTGGTGAGCATTAATTAATTATACCTTTTACCCTCAAAATATAACAGATTATTTTCTTCAAATTTTTGGCTTCATTTCTAGTCTACGGTATCGATTTCATTGCGGAGTTCAAGAAAAAATTATAATAAAATAACATTTATAAATGTTATTTTATTATAATTTCAAGTAATAACTTCGAAGGAATATCCGCCCATTACGCATCCTTCATGTATTCGAACCTGTCACCATATCATGCATTTGATAGACTATATTTTGAAAAGGAAAAAGTAACTACCTATTGAGTATATACATCATGCATTCCTAAAGTTTTTATTTTTAGTTTTCTTTTCAAGCAAATCTCTAAAGTGGTTCCGAGTTGTGGGAATTGAATTTGATTTGATTCAATTAAATTCAATCCAATTCATTATTGCTTACTGCACCTCTTCATGTGCAAAAAATTTGATGCAAAGAATTTAGTGCATTTCACTTTCTACAGTGAGACAAATTCTGTGATATTGCTAAATCGACTTATTTGTCTTGAATGGGAGGACGATAGGGAAGTGTGTTGGTGGTTGTTGCAGACAACGGTTATCTTTGATCTCCAAGTAATGAAATCTTGAATCATGAAAAATCTATGGAAATATGTTATTAAGTAAACTGTTCTGCAACCATTTTTGCTGATAGGTTTTTCCAAGAAAACTGCCATATTAGGCTCAATTCTTCATCACTATGGTAACTATGCCCCCTTGTCTCCCCGCTACCCTTGGCTTTCCTCCTGACTTCTTTCTATAAACTCCTCTTACTATTTGCATCTTGTCAACATAACAAAAGTTTATTGCTATCATTGCTGCAATTTTCATTAAATCTGTCTCAAGTTTCAAAAATCCCTTACGGGGCAACAAATCCAATCGAATCAGACATCATTATTTTTGCAAACTCGTTGGCTTTTCCGAATTTTACAAGAACATTTTTTTATTGGATGTGCAGTTGAATGGTAACTATTGTAACTCATTTATAATATAAAATTTCTTAGATAAATTGTCTGATAAACCATTTTAATGATTTTCTTACTGTTTATAGGGTCTGCTTGGGCTGATCAGAAAATTCAAAAATCAACCAGGGAAAGAATTCAGGATATTGTTGCTCGGTAATTTTTCTTATTTTAATAAATAAATTTTATAAATTGATTCGGAATAAAGTTTGTCTTTTTTCACTGCTGTTGGAAAATTTTCAAAAATGGAATAAAATTAATTTGAATTTCTTCATGAATCTTGGTAGTATAATGATGATTTTCTTTAAACCTTATGAAATGTACAAATTGTTTGGTTTAATGTATGTATTATATCTATCATAGTGGCAACACAAATGCATATTAGATGAGTCATGTATAAGCTCCAGACTAATCAATTTATTTTTTCCATATATAAAAAGATTAAAAGGTTTTTGTAAAGATTTTGCAATATCTTTCAGGCTTGGATAATGCCGGTAAAACAACGATATTGAAGAATTTAGCTTCAGAAGACATACGACACATTACACCTACACAGGTGCAATCTATATTTGTTGAATGACAAGTGCTATCTTTTTTGTCAACTGTCCATAACTTCTGTTTGTAATAATAACATTTGGTGATTTCATGCATTATCCTATATTTCGCTATTTTAGGGCTTCAATATTAAAAGTGTAGTGTCAGATGATGTGAAACTAAATGTGTGGGATATTGGTGGACAACGAAAGATTCGTCCATACTGGAAAAATTATTTCGAGAATACCGATGTTTTGGTAATTGATTTTCTTCCCTTGAAATGAAAGTTTGTGGAATTCTTGAAAATCCTGCATTGCTGATTGCTAACAATCTGAATAATATTTATTGACTTTCAGATATATGTAATCGACAGTTGTGATCGTAAACGATTTGATGAAACAGGCATGGTAAAAAGTATTCTTGATCAGTCTTCGTCTGAAGTCTTCTGAATTTTTGATCATTTTATCATTAATACATTGTATCCAACTCTGAATATATATCCTAAAGTTCAATTTGGGAATAACGTTTTTTAAAATTAGCAAATAATAGACAGAAAGGACCGAAATAAAATGTATCGTAGCATTATCGTATCTTTGTAGAATTAATGGTACTAACAGCACAGAATATACGGTCTGCAGCTGTTTTCAGTGGAGACATCGGCGCTTTGAAACTATTGCTTGTTATAAAAAATTATGCTTTGAAGGATAGATTTGAAAGAGTTTCTGAAATATTTACAACAAGTTTTTTTCAATGTTAGGAAATTTTCAGGAATTTCCCAGTACAAGCAATTAAGATTGCAAAAATTTTCTCAACAGTATTAATAAATAAAAGGATTTTGAATAAACTCTTATTCGGTATTGCAGGAGCTCTTTGAACTTTTGGACGAAGAGAAACTCAAAAATGTCCCATTATTGGTTTATGCTAATAAACAAGTAAGCTGAATTAATTTGCCTTAAACTTTCTTCAAAAGCTCCCACTCAGTGAACAGTTTGTTTGACTGTATTGATGATTTTTAGTCAGTTCTGTACCAATTCCATTGAAATAAATTGTATAAATTCTTCATTTTCATTATATCATTTTTGCTGTCTATGCTGCAAACATTTTGACTCAATTATTGGAAATATTCTTTTTTTCAAAAGTCTTTTTTAATTTTTTAAATTTAAAGGATTTGGTAACGGCAGCTAAAGCAAATGAAATAGCGGAGGGTTTACAACTATTATCCATCCGTGACCGATCTTGGCAGATTCAGGCATGTTCTGCTGTTACTGGAGAAGGTATTAAGGTATCTATCATTTTCATTTAAAATAAAATTTTTTTAAAAACAAAAAAATCAGTTGAAATTAGTTTGTTTTTTCAACGATTACGAAAATGATCAGGTTTTGATTCTGATGTAAACATGGAACTTCAAAATCAACACCTTAGTCAAGAATTCATTGAGTTTACAGCTTTAAAGAATTCAGAGTCGAAATTTCTGAGAAGAAATAATGATCTGTAGAATGTCACTTAGAGGCTTTAACTAGATTTCTTGTTAAAAAGAATCCTTTCTTAAATGCTATCTTCTTTTCAATACCAATCAACAAATAAATTGATACCATTCGCAGGATGGAATGGATTGGATTTCGAAAAATTTACGAAAACAACAGAAGTCGAAATAGTCAGTAGTATATAAGAACTCTATAAAATTTAGAATTCTATTCTAATCAAAAATGGAAAAAAACAATGATGCATTAAATTGCCAAATGAAATTATATTTGAGATCGCGATTAAACTTAAGCATCTATTGGTCAAAACACGGACCAGGAGAGTGCTATCTGAAAATATCCAGATCATATTTGTTATGTAAATGAGCTCTAATATTTGTTAAATAACCCCATTTTCTTGCGGTTTATTCAGATCATCACAATATCTTATGTATTTCGGATGGTAACTACTTCATAGTAAATGACAAAATATGCGTCATCAATATCAATCCACTGTGAATCTAGTCTTCTATTAGTCAAACAGTACATTCCGAGAAATTTTCACAAAGAAGGATTGATTTTAGGTTTGATGACCTTAAAAATGGTAATACAAACATGTCATGTCATTAATTCAGAATGTTGCATAGTAAATTTCGATAACTTTTGAAGATCGTTTTATTATATTAACTGAAGTAAATGAATATAAACGAGTTCTTATTTAACCATCAGTCTCAAACTATTATTACTACCAGTAATACTTGTATTACAAAAATGTTGTACTTGAAAAAATTTTTTTAATCTCAGTTATTTCAGTCATAGAGTTTCAGTAATTCCATCTGAACCCTTGCCAAGATGTGGGAGCGATAATGGCTAAATTAGAAGTAGGTAATTTGGAAAGACAGAAAATATGAAATCAATATTTTGGAGATGGATATGATAGACTTTATTAGGATATCCATCGTAATCGAACAGTCCTAGTATTCTTGTTTGCGATTTGTCGAATGTAGGTTGTATCTATTGCAAGATCATGCGCAGTGAGAGCAATTATCAACACATCTTGCAGTGATAATTGATAAAAATAAGGCACACAGCCAGAGCGCCAACTGACAGCGGGATAATCACCAGCAGGATAATTAAATTACTACCACGACGCTTTCCAACTGAACCTACTGATGCTTGTTCCTGAAATTTAATTGATAAAAAGCCGAGAGCATGTTATAACCTTCGTGAGATGAGTGATAAAATAATTAGGAACAATCAGCAGAAGTATTTTAAAGTACTATGTATCTCGAAATCTACAAAGATCGTATTTTGCAATGATTCAGCATCCAGTTACTTTAATTAATTGTTTTAGAAAAGTTCTTCCGTCTTTTTACTTCACCTCAATCAAATTTGGCGGTTGTGAATCAGCCAAATTATCATTGTTTTCTTCCTCAATGGAACCACGTAAATATGCAAATGTATTGCAAAAATCTTCTTCGCAAGCGCAAACCTGAAAATAATAAAAAATAACAGTGAATGAGTTTACTTGAAGTATTTTTAATACCGGAAGAATGTCATAAGCTAATCTTTTCCAATTAGCACCGATCATTTCATCTAAGGAAACCGGCTTAATTGAAGAAAATATTTCCCAACCTCTTGCCATCCATTCCAGTTGTGCTGACATTTAGCCAGATCTCCTGTATCATCTGCATTGCTACATAGCTGTTCCATATGTGCTTGGCTATCTACAGAAAAGTGCGAATATCAATTTAGTATTATAAAATAATGAATTTTATGAAATTTAATACTGCTATTATTATTTCATCAGAAGGATCGGAAAATTTTACGATACCATCATTGCGAAATCCAATCAAGCATAATTCGCCCGTACAAATCAATGAATCTTCACAGTTTTGTTTGTCGCAAAAGCATCTCACAGTACTTTCTATAAATTAACAAATTGAATGAAATTAAATCATATTAAAGAAATTTGAAAATTTTGATGTTCAAAATAAATATATTTTAAGATATTGTTACTAATACAAATTCCTGACTTTTTTTTTTAATATGCAAAATCCTGTCTCATACAAAATGTTTCCAAAAATATTAGAATGTAAAGGCTTTCTTCTAATTTTACACAAATTTAGTAAAAAAAATTTTAGAGAAAAAACAAGATGGGCAGTGATGGTCCCGGTTTGGTGTATAGCTGGATAGCAGAGAAAATATCTTAAAAATAAACCAAATTGATGAATAATAGGGTAGTCAGAAGAAACAACTAGAAAAAACAATTGAACATAAACTAAGAAAATATCAATGACATTTCCTTAATGTTTTGCTCCTTTTCTTTGCTAGTAAAATTGTTTTTTTTTTCTTCTTCAACAGTGATGAAAATGATTATTTATTCTCAAAGAGAATGTGAGAACGTTTGATTGTGAGTATCAATCCCAAAAAGGTAATTCGGTTGAATAAATAAATCTGATAATTGCTCAGTAATACTCGTTTTAAAATTTTTATATTCTTCAAAAACGTACTTTTGTGAGTTATAAAAAAGATGTGAGCAGAAAGATTTTAAGTGATTAATTATCTTAGTTTTGACAGGAATGTTGTTCATAGGATAAGAATCAATCAATGGATATCTTACCTTCTAAGAGCTACAACAAATAAACTTCCGTAGCATTTCACCGCAAAAGATATTAGGATTTTTTTTTTTTGCTAAATTAACTGCTTTGAAATTTAAGGAATATAAAAATTTTCGAATTTAGGGAATTGAAATTTAAGGAATATAAAAATCAACAACTATCAATTAGTACTACATTGAAACTATCAGAATTATCACGATAGATTTAATCATATCTTTCTAAAGCTGATACTCAAATATGAGACTTGAGAAAAAAAAATAAATCGGTTTTTCGTTTCTTTTCAAAATAACCATATCCGTCGGTCACAGTTGCAAATGAGGAAAAAGGAAATTTTTCGAGATAAAAAACAACAAAAAAAAAAGAACGAAAAAAGGAAGGAAAATATATCCACCATTTAGGATGTGTTACGAAAAATTGGAAAGAAATGACGAATGAGAAGCATTCAGCAAGAAGTACGTATCCCTTTAAGTTAATATGATTTATACCATCTTTTTTTCAATTTATTGTAAAGAATTTTCTCGTTCAATTTTATTTGAAGTTTTATAAGGATTTTTGAATGATTAAAATTTAGAAAATTTTTTCAATTCTGCAAACAAATGTAAATGCTCACCTCATTGACATTTACCTTTATCTGAATTTTTCGTTTTAATATAAAATTTCAGAGTGAATTTATCAAAACCGTCGAACTTCTATGCTGTAATGAAGCTTACCGAAATTGAATCTTATCTCTCTACTTCTCTTTATTCCATCCTGTATGAAATTTTAAATTAATCATTACGAATTATATTTACAATTCGGTGTGATGACAATAATAATTTCATTGAATTTTTGATGTGTTTATAAGTAATGCCTTTTACAATCTTGCATTAATATTACAATGATGAGATATTGATATATCACGATTACCAAAAGTTAAGTCTCGTCTTAACGGGAATATATTTCAAATAAAAACTCAATAATCTGACTTCCCATCTAAATTTCTTAATCTTTTATAATTAATGATTGGAGTATTGAAACTCTTCTCTCTAATTATTCTATAATTCTCAGCTAACTTCAATTATTTTCATTCTCGACTAATAATTGAATTATACCAAATATCAAATTAGGAAATGCACACAAATTAATGCATCAATTTTTTCCACCCATCTTTTCAGTCAGTCATTTCCAACAATTATTTAATAAAAAATAAAAGTAAAATTTAACTTACGCGCTAACTGTATCAGCTGTGAATGTATCAAAGCACACAAACAGAGCAACATCACAAACAACAATAATCAACTTCCACAGCAAGCATTTGTTTTACTCTGTTTTTGCCGGCAGTAACAGTAGCACATGCCCGATAACATAGCAAATAGCAAGACCTATGCACCGCCAAACCAATCCCTAAACATATCTTAAAATTTTGATATTTAATTAGCTATTGTAAAAACGCCAAAAAAGGGAAGATGGCAATGCATTATTCAAGTTTTGTTTTTAAAATTTTTTGTCGCAATTTACAGCAACGTTCACAACATACAGAATGCTTTAAAAAAAATGTTTATATTGCTATCAAAATTTAAGTGCCGAAAGTGCTTTGCAGGAGGAAAATTCTGTTTTATTCCATCTTTAAATCTAGCATTACGTTATTTAAGTAATTGATTTACTTCATATATAATTCGAGAATTTTCAATTAATATAATTGCCTGATAAGTAGGTACATTTCTAACAATTAAAGATCACAATCGATATCATATGCTGCTCATTGATAATCTCATATAAAATAATTATTAAATTAAATTTCCAATTACTGCATACAAAATATTATTATTTTGAAATCGACAATACAAACACATTCATTTCATTATCTCAATTTTGAATATAAACTTTAAAAATGAACTCAGTAATAAGGCATTTTACATATACTTAAAAGACAAAGTATGAGTGAGTGAATAAGTGAATGATATCTGTGCATATTTTCCTCCAGCAGGTGAAAATAAGAATGTATGTTGGAATGAATAAATGATTATGGATGCTATAATTATTGGTTATCGGCATTGAAGCTATAGCAAAAGCACTTGAAACGGGATGAATTGAAGGTTAAAAATATGGGGAACAGAGAAGATAAATTCAGATTCTCTCTATGATAATCGGATACCTAAAGGGCCATAAGAGTATTTATATTTTCCCAAGCTCTTATGATTGTTCTAACGCATTTCACTATGGAAATACAGCACTCTGAGATTCCGCCTTCTCACCATAGAAGTACTAATGAAATTCATTTGCGTCGTAGCAATAAGATTTACTTGTTTATCTGTTTACTTTACTCATGAACAATTAGCCAATAAGAGCTATTGTGGTAGTAGTCTAACTGGCTGTTAATTTATTCCATTTATATGAAAACTTCAAAATCTTTTCGCTTTATAATACATGATAATTCTGGAAATTTTGTCAAAGAAATAAGTAACGATTTATATAAATTTAAATGTAGTAGTAACTGAATCAATCAGTAATATGTTTCTGGTTTCTTCAGTTGATTGAAATTCGCAGTACTTCCAGTTAGTTGTTGATACTTGCAGATCCTGTAAAATATTCTGTAATATATTCAAATTGTCCAGAATAATTTAATTATAATTATCCTGAAGTAACACAGAAAGGAAACAAGGGACAAATCTTAAATGATACAAGACAATTCACGGGAGTTTCCTTTCTGGTCCCGAAAGGACTAAATCGATTGCATCAATTGAAATAAATGGAAACCACTTCAAAAAAGATGAGATATATCGAATATTCATAAAAGATAAAATATATCTAACACCATGACTCTATCTATCATCGAACTTTCTACAACATCCGCCCAACTCACATTTTGCAACCTTTTTTTTCGCTTTTATCCCAGTCATGGACTATGAAGTTATGACTTGTCTTATTTAGTTCGTCTTTCCATCATTTACAGTTCATGATATAAGGATTAAAAAATATTGAGGAAGGAATCCTTTCCAAATTTCTAAGGCCAATAGATTTTAAAGTTAGAAAGGTGCATAACTACGAGCAATAAATTTTCTTCTAACACTCCATTATTATTCCTTTCGAAATAACATATATCATTCTAAAGCAGAGAAAAAAGAATGCAATTCATTTACTAAAAATAACAGTGGTAAATTTATACGACTAAAATACGTCAAAGTTTAAATTACATCTTCATTAAACAGCTTTCAGTGAAGAAAAAAAACTGAAACAAATCCTAATTAAGTCGGAATGACCAAACTATATTTCCTGATTTCAAGTTTAGATAAATCAAAAATCTTTACTGCACTATTTTAAATTGTCTAAGCACTTTTGCAATTTCAAAAGCGAAACGAAAATAAACTTTTAGATTAATTTTTAAGTACATGAAATGTCATCGGAAAGGCTAACTTTTCTGGAATTTTTCTGATCAAAATGGTATTACATAAAGATGGTTGTCGGCACTTAAAGAAAAACAAGCACGCACTTTACAGATTACTCTTTTCAATAATCGCATTTTTTTATAAAAAAAAAGAAAATAAAATTGCGTGATGTCATCTCTTTACTGCTCACTTAACAGATTATGATGAAATAATTCAGAAGTGGCGTTGTAATCAGAATAACATGAAATATAACTCTTCAGTGTTCTGCTTTTCCATGCTATATTATTCGTATTTCAATTCAGTATCACAGCAAATGAAAGAATATGCAATAAGTCTAAATATTAATAAATTTAAATTTTATAAATGTAAACAATGGAAAGTTAATTATTTCCATTTTCTAATAAGAAGTATTAACGCAACACTTTTCAAAGACAACACTGAAAATAAAATTGAAACAGTAATTTGGGAACAGTTCTCGTTGTTAATCGATTTACATCGTGAACGGATTGGATGAAAAATGTAATTCTAACTTTTATGATTAAATTCTAATCTTACTAATATTATCGGACATTTTGATGAAAAGAAAAATAGCGAGATGGAAGGGAAAGGGAAAGATAATTATCAATAGATCTGTGGAAAAGAGTGAAATGAAGTGTTATCGTTGGTTTAAGAATGATCGAAGTCGCTGGTAATTTTAGGACGACAAATGATGGATGGGTAAGATAAGGAAGCGATAGCTGAAAGGCCAAGGGAGCTGAAAAAGGGTAAAGGAGTGAGGAAGAGAGAGAGGAGCAGATCAGAGAGAGATATGAATTGAAATTGGTTGTTATCGGAAGCTTTTCTTAGTGGGCCGATTTTCAATTGAATGGAGAAGTCAGTGGAGCAGTCCTTTTTTCATCCGGAACTGATCTCGAGTTTATGCTCGACTGACAGCTTACCGCCGAATATCCCCCATTACTATTATGCTTCCAGGCTGCTCACTCTGACATTACAATCAACGGATACGAAGGAAACGGAGCAAATGCTCGAACCAATTTCCATCAGCCATTTGGGAGTAATTGTCAATGGAATACCTCTTCTTTTTCTTTCTTTCTCTCTCTCTCTCTCTCTCACTGATATCTTAAATTGATAGAAGGGCAATAGTGGCCGAAGGATTCTTTTGATTTCTCTCAAATCCGTCAAAAATCTGATACAGTCAACTGGGGGTAAAAGACTTCTCAATACTCTATTTTTAATTTCTGTTTTATAAATGCAAAAAAAAAAACTTGAAGTTAAGGTAAAAACGGCACTATTTACTATTTTGACTTCGAAAGCTGCACGTGAAATGTTCGCATTGCTAATTTGAAAAACGCATTTAAAATTCCATCAGAATTGTTCAATTCTACTGTATTTAGCATTTTAAACAATTCAGTATGTTACAGATTTATCGTAATCTACTTCAGGACTTCGAATGAATTATGTATAATGAACTGGTAATTAAATTCAATTGAACAATGAAAGTGTGAATTACAGTTTAGAAATTGAAACTTATTGAAATTTACAAGTTTCAATGAAAATTACATATCATGTTTTGTGTAAAGGCAGAATTAGAATTAAAAAAAGACGCTTTATTTGGTAACCTTTTATTTAATAATTTCAAAGAAGATCCCAAATAAGTATAAAAAAAAGAATAATTAAAGGGAGATGACTCAAGGACTTACCTTTCTGCAGTAAAATCCGTAGAATATATTTCACTATTATCAATATAGTATAGTGTGCTATTCATTATCAAGCATTTTCTCCGCACTTGCCAGTACATTTCCTGCTGACAACCAGTAATAAGAGGTGAAACCGTTTTTATGGTTCTTCGTTGAGCATAATCAATTTAGTCAATGTTCGACTTTCGGATGAAAGTATTATGCTTGCTTCTTTTCAACTTATAAATGCTAATAGTAACAATAACACTGAACAAGAACAGATTTAGTAATTTGATTTATATAGGTTCCATTTTATCCATCTAAACATCATATCATACCCGTTGCTGAGAATACGAGAATCATTACAAAATATCGTTCCTCTCGGACAATAATTAGTATCCGTCGATGGAACATATTTGTTATCACAGACAAATTACTTCTCTAACATATGTCCTAACAATTTAGCAAGTTATAACATGAAATATGCTATTCCACAAATAATAGTGACCAGTAAAGGAATTCTCGTACCAAATGGTACCAAACGAGATGCCATCTGAGAACACGGATATTGTGATTCATCCTGAAAACGAAAAAGAAAAGCAATTATGTAGTCGATTATCAGATAGATAAAAATCTGTGTGATTTATTGTTAAATAGAATGAAACTCTGTCCCAACATATAACTGACAAAATTTTACAACAGTTGTACCTCCTAAAATTGAATGCATTAAAGGCTAAAGGTCAAAATGAGAAGTAAAAAATAAAAGACAAATTTTGGGATATATTGCTGTATTTACCAGCTGATGGTAAAGTTCACCAATTTCAAATTACTTCTTAAATTAATAAGTTTAACCTCATCAGAATGTATACATTTCGATGGTGATTTACGTTGCTTTGCATGAACATGTCGACATTTCCTATCGCCAACATCCTCAGAAAATGAATTCACCATGTTTGTACCTGTGTTCATCTGTTGCTTGTCCGAAGCGTTATCCACCTGCAAAATAATTAAATTATAATTGTTGATTAGATGATATGCAAATATAAATTTTTACCACACCATTTTTCCTACCAAAAATTAAATTACTAATTATTTCCAGATCGACTATAAATCAACATCCATTTCATTAGAAATTTTTTAAAAAATTCCCACAAATGTTTGGTTTATTTTCCTATCTATTAATAATTATTCTTTGATTTTAAAAATTGAATCTTTAAATTCAAACGAAAATTTTTTAACCTGACTGTATGCAGTCATAAATTCGGACGGTGTAGAGAGTGGACATCGTGTTTCATCATAGCAAACAGAGGAAGTTGATGCCGGATTGCTTTGCACAATAATAACCAACAACAAATTGGTATTTGGCACCCAATGAGCATACATTTTTCTGGAAGCAATTGATCCCAAATTAAAGCAATGAATATCCGATCATACAAATTCTACAAATAACTAACTTACACAGCACATTTAGCTGGATTATGCTTGCATGGGCGCTCAGATAAATTATCAGCAACTAGCGCTGATGATTTTGGCAATTCACGTCTCGATCCATTCGTTGACCAATTCTCTACGCCCCAATTTGCCAAATAGTATTTCGCCGCTTTATCGCATGAAAATGTGTCCGTATCGCCGGTAAATGTTGCAGTATATGCTGAACAGCTGATTCGTTATCTCATCTTTTTATAAATTTTGAAATTTTAAAATAATAATCAAGCTCAATTCACGCTAAAAGATTATGACCAATAACAATGTACAATGAGTTTTCGAAATTAAGCATGAAGTTAGAAATTGATCGTCTGACAATAAAAATTGCATTCCAATTTAGAAATTTAAGTCAAACCATCAACATGAGGATGTATTAATGATGTGAATATTTGGTAAATGGCAAAATTTTGTAATAATGCTAATAATCGACTCCAAATTTGCAGTAACGATCCAAATATTGCGTTAATCTGAAAACACCTTGGAAAAAATGATTCTCAAACATATCTCAGCTTCAAGTTTTTAATATTTCAAGTATATTCATAACATAATAATCGTTAGATTTGACAGTCCTATACCTTACCCTAAAAGCAGCACCAGCAGTATACATGACCATTTCATTCTGTTTACAGATTGCTTGATAATCAACATAAACTGTTCTGTAAAGAAAAATTTTTATTCATTTAACTTTAATTATTTAATTTGATTTTAATTACCAAACACTTGACCAGGAATTAGCTGAAATATTCCTCCTGATGACAGGAAGTCTTATATTAAATACTGTAAAAATTTATCAAATTTTTTGAGCATACTCGGTATAATATTTATTTTTCAACAATAGCGTCATCGTTCTTTCTGTAATTCGATTCACCGATCCAAACCAACGTCCCAACAAATCGAAATTTTTCGGCATTCTTGTTTCATCTCCAGAAAATCCATTGCTGCTACTCACAGAAGTATTCAAACTACTGTAAACAATATATGCATGCTCATCCAACAAAAAACACCATCGACGCTCATCCTGCAATAAAACATCTTTTGAAATTTATCTCAGAAATTAAAAATTACCTTGAATTTTAAACGAATTATTTTAAATTAAAATCGGTAGGAATTCGTTTACCTGTGGCCCACAACCAAACTTCTTCATTACTTTCGCCATATAGTCGAGCGTCAATTCTAATCCCACCACACCAACCAATGCACCATCAATGTCCAGTGCCTTAGTGACCGTTAAAAGAAGTGAAACATTTTCTGGATGACCGTATATTGATTGCGTTTCTTTTTGATACCAAAGATAGGCTAAATAAATGCTTCATTTCAAGTCCGAAAACATTATGTTTACTATTAACAAAGTTCAATGATACATACTTTCTTTGTTTACATCAACAACCAAACGTCCAGGCATTCGAATGCTACGTTGAAAGTATTGATCTTCACTGGCATGACGATTTAAGTCTTTGATAAAATGCTGGTAGCTTCTAGAAATAACAACATATATGCTATTTCATCTTCATCTTTATTTGCTATTTCATCTATTTGCTATTTCATCTTCATCGTCGGGCATGCATGGAACATTCTTATAAATAACAACAAACTAATTATATGATAAATTCAATTCAACAGATTTCTCGTAAATTAACTCTATTCTACTTCTCAGTTTTTTCCCATATTTGACCGAATTCTGCAAGCTCTATAAGTTGGAACTAAGTTTCGAGCTAAACTCGAAATTTTTTAAAACTTTCGCAACATTTTCAATAATACGCCAACTAATATAGCTTACAATACAATTTTAAACAAACATTTGCTGTTTCGGCATTGCTTGAGCACCTGTTGAAGCCACTGTTGGCTTTGGTACCGATCCGATTTCTGCTACCATTGTTGGTGATAGGTTAGGATTGACATATGTCAATCCATCCGGTAATTCATCCCAATATTTTACCATACCCGAAGCGGTAGCAAACCAAACAAGGTGAATTTGTTTCCTGTAATAAAAACTTTAATAGCAATCTTAATAACAAGATTACCTTTAGGATACATGGGATCATTGATACAAATTACTAGCTAAACAAAGAAATATTTAAACAATAATGAACTTTATAAGAATGATGGGTCTTAACACCTACTTTTTATTATCCTTCCAATTAACATCCCACAAATTTGTCAAACCATTCGTTGCTTTCATATCAAACAGGAATCGATCAATGAGAAGCTTTCGATATTCACAAAGTTTAGGCAGACGTCCATCTGCACGCATTTTTCGAACATATTCACGAAATGCAACCTCAGGTGTTAATTGCGTGTCGTGGTCATTCAGTAAGCAATAGCGCCTAAAAATGTGCTGAACAAACAAACAAACGAATATCGGTAATATCAAACAGATGGTTCACTTCAATTTTAACAAGTAATCTTTCACTTATAACAAAAAAGTCATTTAAAGAAATCATACCAGGTGGGATGCATCAGCCAGTTTGGCATATCATACCATAATAACTTTACATCACCATAGTTTATTTCTTTCTTTGGTTTTATTCGTTTCTCATCACCTTTCGCTACTGCCAATCCGATGCTGTAATCAAAGTGATGAGGCGATATATCATTTGAAACATTATTCAGCTCCAAATCCAGTTAAAAAGGTAGTAGAAAAAGCTTGATACTTTACTCCACTGATCACAATCACATAAACACATATGTATTTTAAACCTTGATAAAAGATAAACCTTTAATGTTATATAATCAAAGAACTATTTCGGATTTTCTGAACCTAAACGATTGTTAAGAACTATTAATTTAAAGCATTAAGAAAAAGTCATACGTGAAAAGTGATTGTTTTAGGCATTCCAAATAATAGTTGTTGGATTGACGGTATACACGTTCCTGTAGCCAGCATTACTAATCATTTAAACAAATAAGCAATTAGACAGTAAAAAAAGTGAACAAACTTACCAAATTGGACGTTGCATACAATATATCTAAGGTATATGCCTTGCCATTATTACAATTAATCATTGAGCTACGCATCTGAAATATTAAATCAAAACTTTTCCTTTCAAAATAACCAATTAAGTGAATCAGTGAAGTGCATAAAACAGAACTTATCCTTTTCCAAATTTTTACATTTAACAATTTTGAACCAACAAGCAGTCGAATAAAAGACAGAATATAATTAAAATTCATTCAAAACAACAACAACAACAACAACGAGCAAAATTCTAGGTGCTGAGTATGCAAATATGCATGAAAAATTCAAAAGACAGAAGAAAAATACAAAATGTCAAGTTTCTTTTTTTTCTAATCAATTAAAAATTATTTTTGAAAAATTTCAAAATAGCTCTCATTAAATCAACTGGATGAATCCACAATATTCGAAAGAAAAAAAACACAAACAAGAAAGATATGGCATGCAGCTTAATGCACAACAGAGAGAAATCAGCAATGGCGTTTAATTTTACCTCACTAGTATCGTACTGTAAACGATTCATCATTGATAAATGATCGTCTGACTAAAAAACTGCCAATAGATATGCCAATTAAAATTAAAGAGAAAGAGCGACAAGAAGAGTAGAAGGTATTCTGGACAAGTTTATCTCATTGAAGGTTTAATGTTTATCATTATTCAAAATTATGGCACAAAACTAACTATTTGCTGATTTTGTGGCACTTCAAGTTCCAGAATATCAATATTGTTATAATTCAACTTCATCTGTTTTGTTCCCGGATCCTATAAATGTGTTATAACACTAATTTAGAAATTAATCATTTATAAACTAATTTAGAAATGAATCATACAGTGAATATAATTTAAAGACCTAAAAGATCAAAGTTATAAAAAAAGCATTAAAAATCATATTATGCTATTACAATCAATGCTCCATCTAAAATTTTGCTATTCCTCCTTGCAATAGTTTATATTTACCAAAGGGCGCATTTGTGGATGAAACATAACATAACCATTGTTATCCAACATAAATGCATAGCTTCGACTTCCAAACTGTAAATTAACAAATTTTCTAAACTGAAAAGAAAATTTGAATTTATTGATGTCATTATGCCGATACTATAACGTTTCATAAGCTTCATAAACAAATCGAAGATTGGCTTTTTTTATCGTCACACTGTACATTAGGAAATCTCGACAGCTATGTAAGATGTCAGATATATCTTCCAATAATGTAACACAGCTTACATTTACAGTATGAACGAGTTGTGATAACTCAATGACCGGTACATTAACGGCAGCAACTCCCATCAATTCTTCATCTTGGATCACAGGATAACTTACTGTTGTGACCAACATTTCTGTCTAAAAATAAAAACATCTTTGGTTACTCACAACATCTCAAACCATTCTAAATCCAATTGCAGCTTCTTAGAAGGATTAATAAGTTGGAAAAATCAAAAGTACCAAAGAGATAAGGATTTGATAAGGATAATAAGATCAAAATGATTAGAAACAGATGCCCCAACACTAAAACAGTCATTGTTTCGCCTTCTTAATTTCTTCAAAAAATCAAGGTGATACAAACTGTAATAAAATATATCATTAAAAGCTTTCCAAATAAAATTCTTAAATATGACACGTAACTAACCCTTGGATCCACACGTTTGATTCGGGCTTTCTGGAAAATACAGTTATTGAAATAAATAAAATATAGTTTGGTCAAGTTATGAGAAATATAAATAACTAGGAAAAAGCTGCAATGTAAAATCTAAAAAAAAATTACAACTTACTTTCTTCACTGGGGTTTGACTGGTTGTTAGCTGGAAAAAACAAAATCTATTTATCCATAAGAGTTCAGAAATTTTTTATATTTTATTAAAAAAATCTACATTTCCCACTATAAAGTTGCAGATTTGTCAATATTTTAAAAAGTTTAAATATGTAAATAACATGAGTAATTATCATAAATATCTGTTCTATAAAAAGTGAAGGAAGGTTAAATTTACCAATCGTTCCTTATAAATGCCACTCCAAATGCCATCTTTTTCTCTAAAACTTGCACCATGCTTACCGACCGGTCGACTCATTACCTTGATGTATTGCTAAAAATTAACTAAATCATTCTTATGCATTTTCAAGATTTTAGACAATTTATAGCCAATGAAAGTAATTGCTAGAAATAATTATGGCCGAGTCACCATGGAAATAACGGATCATAATGCTTGATCCGGTCCTGACAAAAGCTAATAAATAGATAAATAATGAAATTATGAAGTGCTAAAACTCATTATTTACTTCAAAATAAGTTTGAACCCACAGCTTCAATCAATAAATAACTTTGAGACACCTGAACTTTTTCCTGTACATCAGCCAAATTACTAATATGCACCATGAAGCCTTTATTTTCACAAGCCATCCATTTCACCTGTGCCACATCTGTTGCTTCTTCCCCTATTAGAAATGAAAAGAAGCGAACCTATAAGACATTACCATTTCATTGAATGCAATCCTCGCAATTAAAGTTTCCAAGTTTATTAAATGAGATTTATACGGTGAAATTTACAATTAGTTATCTCATATTAAAGATATGAAGTGACCAGTTGGGAAAACTATATCAGAGTACTGTAATACTTAACAGTGTCTAATATGAAATGATGAAATCATTCACCGATTTATTTTTATTATACAGATGGAAAATCTGTTTGAAATAATTGGGTGCTCCATCCGTAATTAGCATAATGATATCGTTACAACCAAACTGTGCTTTCTTTCCCGTATAATTACGCATCTGTAATAAAACCGCAATATCTACATTATTGATACAATATTGATATTTCATAATAATTTGTTAAATGAATTTCCCAAAAATTTTTGTCCAGCTTCCTCGTCTTAATTTTCCATCCATTTTTTCGATAGAGAACAACGATATCTATGAATCTCAAAAACTTTAACTTCCATTTTGCTCCCTTTTAATTTACGCAAAAACAGTGCATACATAAAACTTTGTAATTTCATCTAAATTTTAAATCTTGTTTAAGAATTGAAAAATAAATAAAATTTCTAGTTATTATGAGTCCATTATGTTATTCAATTTAATATTTAGTTAAAATTCAAATTTCTTAGATTCATAAATATGATGATATTGTTTGCAACAGTGATACTTAAGCGTTTCTATGAGGCGACTAAACATTCGTAAACAGTATGAACAAAAAAATGAAAAAAAAAACAATACATGCGAAAAATCAGCGATCAACGGCTTAGTTTTATCTTTTAAGGATAAGCTTGTATAAATATTATGTTGTTTATAATACCAATCACAGCTACTGATAACTATCACTTACTGCCTGATAAAGATGATTTGGGACCACAAGAATATGATCTTGAACAGCAATGTAATGAATATCAGCGGGTAGTATACCACCAGCTAACTCCCGACGCAATGCCAATTCTTCAGTTGTTGTAAAATTGACTGATCCGGGAAGCTGTATATGGATGAAGCGCAAACGGAAATAAATGAACAAAAAAGACAGCAACAGGCTAATTTAAAGAAAATAAAAAACTAATTAATTTAGCAAAAGCATTTTATCGAATGACATGGATCTATCTGTATCTAAAAAGCTTGTAAATCCATAACCATCTAAATCTTTAAGATTATAAATGTCTCCAAAAGTTACACAACAAACATAGTCTAAGATATAGTTAACGTTAGTAGTCTAACGTTAGCAAGATAATTTTAAAGTAGCAGGCATATGCACTATTTACAAAAGCGTAAAAACGTTAGCCTTTTGTCTTTTAGTTTCAAGCGATTTCACAACAAGCACATCAAGCATAAAGCTGAAGCAACAAAAAAGTTGAATTGAATATCTTAAAAAAATTAAAAAATGTTCTTCACAGAAAGAAAACTTACTTTCATCAATGTTTCGAAGACTTTAATCAAGCCTTTTTCATATTCTGCCTTGCCTTCTGATGACATGCCATTTAGTCGTGCTCGTAGCATCTGAAGCATTATTTCAGGCATGCTAAACATATTTCCTTAGAACTTAAATACAATATTGAAAATAAACATTCAACTACAGAATTAATTTATCGATTTAATTCGACTATAAGAGTTAAAGATGAAAAAGTGATTAAAAGAGATTGATTAGAAAAATGAGAAAATGAAAATGCATTTTAAAAAAAACCTTTTTGTTACGAATTGTTGCTTGTAATAAACCAGCTTTTTCGCTACATTCATCCAAGAAACCAACTGTTTTTGAAAACTGTAAGACAATTTGATCATCAAAAATTAAAAATTACCCATTTAGAAATTCGGATTCAAATTCAATCCCAAAAGTAAACGGTTTGAGAAAAGTACTGACCAGTAATATGTTGAAGAAATCATTGTCGGAAAGTGTTTCTAATATTGCTTCTACAGTTTGTTTGGCTATTTCGAATCTCTGACCAAGCATTGAGCCAGACATATCTAACATTATAATTACATTCTTGGATAGCGTCGCAGCATTTATATACCTGAAAGTACAATCAAAATTTATGCGCAGTCAGAAATTGCTGCTACAGTTTTTAAACTTATTGAAATGCAATTTCCATCCAAAAAGTTCCAACTTGATATTCAACTATAATAGCCTTTTCAGAAAATTGAAATGATTTCCATCCAATAAAAATTGAGAAAGAAATGTGGTAGAAATATATAACAATCTTATTATAGCATCGATCAAAAAAGTGTAAAAGAATAATTTTTATCAAAATATTCATATTTACCATTTTGTACTTCTGCAATCGAATAAATCAAGTTTTTCCGCACGATTGTCCCATACCCATGATACTGCTGTAAAATAAAAATAGGCAATTTAGCGGCTTGCAGTCAAAATGAAAGTTTAATCTCAAATAACCAAATCTTAATAACAATTTAACAAATGTCCAAAAATGACAGCGCAATCTCAAAAAGAAAATAATAATGAACATTCGATCCGTTATGTAAAACAAATGTGTAAATCAATATCTACCTGGATAATATCGCATAAATCCAGATTCTGAGCAAAACATCTGAAAAGCGAGGTCACGCGTTTCTTCCTGATTTGCTCGGTATAAATGATCAATATCAGACCAATCTATTTTCAACAACACTTCCGGATCTAATATACGAATTTAAAATTAAACTTAATTCATCAGTATCAAGAAAGAGAAATAATATGAAAGGTTTAAATTCATCGGTGATTCTTGCAAAGGTTTGCTGTCGTATATATTAATTAATTTAAGATATAATAAAATGTAGAAAAATTCTGTTCATACAATAAGTAAATTATTACACTTTTAAAATACCAAGCTGAACTACTCTCTTACTTCGATCATAAACCGGTGTTGGAACATGGACGGCTGAAGAGAGTGAACTCGTTGAAATTCCGTACAAATTGGCATTCGGTGTTAAATTAAACCATCGTGTACTATTTACCTACAAAAATACACAGATAAAAGAAAACTTATAGGACTGATTTAAAGCGACAAATAGAGTCAAACTAATTATAAAGAGAAACAAGCAGAATTTTGAAATGATATTTTTATATGAATTTGTAATAATGAACTGAAATAGTAGAAGACTCCCTATTCGATATCTGGATTTTTCTGGTGTCATTATCCTAAATGGGCACTTATTTAACATAGAAATAAAGTTTAATATGTTTCACGAAGATAGAAATATTCGGAGAATTACCTCGACCGCACTGGCGGTATGATCCTGCACATACACTCGGGCGGCATCATTTTCTTGTTTAGCTGCCATGAAGCGTATGAAATGAGAGCTTGTCGGATCATTTACATCACGCTCAGTGAAATTAGCGAGATGACGTGATTCCAGCGATAATTTCGCTTCCTTAATTCATCTATTTTAATTTTAATTCAACATCAATTTAAACTAGGATTTAAATTCAAATATGAATTTTGTTATGATTGAAGGAACTTAAATCACCAGTTCATTTAGTATATTTCACTTCAGCCAGTCAGATAAATTGTGCGTAGTCAGATTAATTTGATCTTTTTGTTTTGAGCACTTTTAATTCCAAATGATAATTCTTGGTTAATTTTTACTATTGATTTCATTTGTCTAGTTTGAAAGTAATAAAACTTACCCAAGCAATTTTAGCACGCCGTTTTAAATATGACTCGACTGCGTTTCTTGCCCTTTTAAGCTCTATTCGAGGATCAAATATTTCAACTTCACCGTAATTTTTGTACATCTACAATGCTCTGTCATAAAAAAAATCGGTTTGGTGCAAAATTATTTGCTTAGTATTAGCTATTTCAATCTTCATGGAATATTTAAAACTATTAAATAAATTTTTATAAAGAACATGAATATAAGTTGAGTCAAACTTTGGATTCAGTATTTTTTTAACCCGAAATTCGTAGAAGGACTGAAAAATGAAATCTATTATTGGAAAGAGAAACAGGAACAATAAAAATCGCTGTCCTACCACTTCCAACATACTGTACTTTAAAAAGAAAACAAAAGTTAGAAGCGTACCGCAATGATATCAGTTTCCTTGGTAGCATCATTAAACATTTCATGCAGATGCTCACTCAAAAGATTGGCCCATTTTTGCACGCTGTAGAAATTTCAAAATTCAATTAATTTGAAAAATTCAGTACCAACTGATAATCGTATAATAATCTTATGATGAAAATTATCAAACGTGAAATTTCTTTTTTCTGTTAAACCTTCAGTAGTAATATGAAACAAAATTATCGAAATGAAAGTGAAAACTTACTCGAATGTGAGTTGTTCTGCAGATGAACCATAGTGTAGTTGTAATACTAGCAGTAATAGTAACTGTATTCGCAACCAATTAATTGTTAATTGCCAAATCATTACAACTGAAACTGAGATAATTCATTTCCGGTACTTTTCTCAGAATCAAATATTCATCTTTATGCTCTCGATTATCCTCCAACTACATTTGGTATGTAACGATGCTTGTCACGTGAGAGAAAGATTATTCTCATAATAAAAGAATGATAGTTTTAATTTCTGGAAAAAACGAAAACTATCTGGCTGGCCATGAATTGGCCACTCGAAATAGCTTAATTATTAAATGATTCTGTTCACACATAAATGAGTTAATAATTCCTTCTCTTGATATAAGACACTTTATGTTTCTTTATTTTGTAAAGATAGTGCGGAACAGTAATCATTTGGAGCAAATTTCAGAAACAATATATATATCTAAATCTGAAGTTTGACACCAAATAAATATTGCAGAAAAAACTGATTGGGAAATTTCATAGACACTTTTCGAAAAATCTTTTAAAAAGCTCTGGGAAACGAAAATATAAAAAATGAATTGATGAGGATATGTTTAGTAAAAGCATGTGAATGAATAAATTTGAAAAAAAAAATTTTTAAGATTTGGCATTTTTAAGAGTCCTGAAAATTGATCAACCGAAGGTACGGAATTTGTTATTACAGTATTTGACATTTATGAGGTAAGCATTAGAAAATAATTAAAACCAATTGGGTAGGAATTAAAAAGCATGTACCAAATAAAGTTTTTTGTATGAAAAAGAAAGAAATAAACTGATAAATAAACTGTAAAACAATCACTGATATAATAAATGAAATTTTTTATAGTAAACAATGGCATACAAGCGTGAAATATGAAATTTTTTTCATCACTCAATCAGCAACATATCGTAAAATATCAATTATTAATAGCATGGAACTTAAATAATTCTAATGATCATCAGTTTCTTTGAATGATTCCAATACTTTTCATTTTTATTTTATTTATTTAATTAACACAGCACTACTCAAATTTCCATTCGAGGTTTTTTTTTCCTTAAAATTTCAGCATGTTAGGTTGTGCAACTTAATTTTGAATAAATATTTTATTAGTAGTTAATGCCAAACACTTACAATGCTAAAAGCTCAGAATTAATAGATTATTCAAAAAATGTAGGTATTGATGATGAAGGAATTGTAATGGATGTGAGGATGAATGAATGCCAACAGCATTGATTCGAAACTTAAACAGTTACTCTATCCATCTGTCAACTAAATTTTATGAAAGTATAAAAAGCTTATCCGAGAAGCAATAGCTGCTTTCATTTTCAGCTTTAAAAATGAGGTGCTTTCTTCGAATCGATTTCTGCTCGATGTTTGTAACAGCACCGCAATGCACATAATCTTTTACCTCACAAACATCCGCACTTGCTGGAACTATATGATAATAGATGTAATTGATTCTATGCTGTCCTCGTGCTCTCTGATGTAACCAGTCATCTGACCTAGTCTTAACCCTTATTCAATATTCATTTTATTATAAGTTCCTACTTTTACTAAATGAATAGGAAAAATTCATGTAATTTCCACTGTTAATTTGAGCATTTTAGTGTAAAAGTTGAATTTTTATAAGAACTATCACTTTGATAGTTTACGTTAAGTTTAATCATATCCCTTCAAAAAGGAAGAGAAAGTTTGATCAGATTTTAATATGTCGTTTGGAACATTAAATATTCCTAAAATTTTGGTAAATAAATTTTCGGTTGGTATTTCATTTTTTGGTTGAAGAAGTCATGACATAAGAAGTAATTAATCTTGAAATTATCACTGCTAAACGACGATGCCATCCAGTCATCAAAACAACTGTGATCTGATTCTAAATGAGACAATTCAGTTATCTTCGCACATCTGATTATTTCCAATAATTGAAATGAATAAAAGTTGTGCGTGTCTAAATTAAGTACGAAAAGAAATCAAAGGTATCGACAAAATGTGGAACAATCTAAAATGGGACTTACAATTTTTAATGTCATTAATATTAATCGTCCGAATGGAATGGAAATTTAGCATCGTGCGTAGACAATTTTATGAAATGATGTGTTCATATGTCATATAAATGCGGTCTTATTCCGGAAATTCAATAGAAAAAGCCATCAAGAATATGGGAGAATTTGTCTGAAATTTTAAACAGACAACTTCTTTGCTTTGACTCAATTGATCTATTAAGAAGAAAAATGATCGATATATTGTAGTAGAGAAATATTGTAGAGAAAAGAGAGACAGAGAGGTGAAGTTTTCTGCACTAAATGTTAGCAGCGTTCATGAAGACAAATACTGAATTGCGATCTGCATGGTAATTTGTAACATTGAATGTCTACTTATCGGCATTAGAATGTTCCAGGGATGATCAATTATATTGAGATCTAGCGCTCAGAGTAATTCTTTAAGTGATCTAAGATTTGTGCGATAGTAGTATTGTTGTGTCTGAAGAATATTGTCTTGTGTTTCATTCTAGCATGTCATTCAATGATAAGACTGTTGTAGGACGACATCATTCCTCCATTTTTGTTCAATCTTCTACTGCTTATAATATGAGTTGTCCAGCTTTTATTCGTGAACAAAATCTTTGGATTCTTATGTTAGCGCCAAAAAAGTGTGCTTAAATATTATCTTAATTTTGAAGTTGGATTTAAAAAGTTTATAAATTGATTAAAATTTTCATCACGCGAGATATAAAGTTTTCGCAAGTGCGTTGCATGAATTTTTGTGTGTGGTTGGATGAGATAGAAATTTATTAAAAAGTTCTTTGAAATGAGTATTTTATTGGTTCTTTGAATTATTTATTCTATCCTGTTTATTTATGCAGTTTTTTGCTACGCGTACAAATGTATAGGGATTCCATCAACTATTGCTTAATCTGATAGTTGAATTTGGGAATTAAAATTTTAATTTAAACTTTAGGGAGTCCTAAAATGGCCCTCAACTACATTGTGACAGCCTACAAACCGACAGTGGTAACCCATGCCGTAGTTGGCAGTTTCATTGTTCCTACGGAACTAAATTTAGTGTTAGCGAAAACCAATCGTGTGGAGCTGTTTTTGGTCACTCCCGAAGGACTGAAACCGCACAGAGAATGTCCAGTGTTCGGGCGCATCGCGACGATAAAACTGTTCAGGGCGCCCGGTGAGGTATGGATTTTTTTAAAAATATATCTTTATCATCGTGATCTGCTCACCACATTGAAGCACAGTGGATAAATAATGAAATGATAGATTTATTTAGCTACAGTTTTTTTATTTTTATTTTACAGTGGCCAAAATGAAAGAGGCTTTTGAATTTTAGGATTCCAGTAAAATTCAACTCGTTTAATATGTTTTCTTTCTAATTCTAAGTTTGATTATTGGTGTATCATCGCTCTAATTCATCAAGCAAAGAAAGCCATTTGTTAGCCTACATCTGAGAAAGAAATCAATAAAAAATTAAATGAATTGTAGGATGTGGACAGCTTGCTAATCCTGACAGCGAAATACCATTTGGCTATAATCCGTTGGACATCAGCGAGCGAGTTGCGTACACGAGCTGCAGGGCACATTGTAGATCGAGTTGGACGACCATCCGAAACAGGGATGATAGCAACTGTCCATTCATCGGGAGTAAGATATTCATTAATTTGTTATCCAAACGTGGTTCAGTAATGATATAAAGATGCAATACAAACGATTTTTTTAATTATAAAAGTGGGTTCTTTACTTGCATAAGGAAACTAATTCCTTGCTCATAATTGATGACAAAAACTTTATTGTTCATGTTTATTGTAGTTGATGGTATTTCGTTTGTATGATGGTCTTCTGAAAATAGTGCAGTGGAATGAAGGAAAGGACCTACGTGGTTTCAACATGAGATGTGATGATTTGTATATCATTGATATAACTTTTTTGTCTGATCCTGGTAATCATTAATTTTCTGTAAAATTATGAAGTTTTGGAGTTTTTACAGCATCGGAATTTTTGTAATGCAGAAGTCTTTACTGATATAATCCGACGACTGAATGAACATTTTTAGCCGAGTTGTCTGAAAAAGATATTGCAAAAATAATTGTCGACATCTACCAATATATTTCTAGACCGTCCAACACTTGCTTACATATACCAGGACGATAATGGTCGCCATGTAAAGGTAGTTGCTCTTAATATTGATGATAAAGAGATCAGCGCACCTCTTTGGAAGCACGATAATCTCGAAGGGGAAGCAAATATGGTTATTAGTGTTCCGGAACCTGTAGGTGGATGTCTCATTGCAGGTCCCGACGCTATTTCCTACCATAAAGGTGAGTTTTTTTTTTCGTGTTAGATATAGTTAGAACTCAAAAACGCAATTTTGTAATATTTACAAATCTGTTTTGAGCTACATTCATGTAATTTCATACGGATTCTTCGTTATGATAATTTTACAACCATGAAATATAGGCGATTGTACTGTAAATTGTTAATAATTAATATCTAAATATTACCCATCCCATTATATTCATAACTGCATTAGATTAACGGCGTTCGTTATATGCTTCTCTGATTTGTGCTGTGCGATCCACGTTTTGCATAATTATTTGATATGATCATCATCGTTCATATACGTATAGCAACGATAGTAAAAGTAACACTATAAGAAGGTGGATGAGTGACATTGCCTCAGTCAAACAATGGGATTCGAAATGTCGATCTGGAACTGCTTGCGATACATGCAGAAGGTGTCTTGCACTGTTGGTGATAATAGTCTTCACCTCCTTTTTGTTTCCCATTCTCTTTCTTTTTATTTATCAGATCTGCTTAATCGTAGGTCTTTGGAAGTATAGCAATAGGCTTTTAAAACTTCTGACGATTATTGTAAACGACACATTTAATACACTTTAAATATGATCTTTTTAGGAGGCGAGGATGCTTTGCGTTATGCAGGGATGCCTGGATCAAAGCTTCACAATACTCATCCGAATTGCTATGCTCCAGTGGATCGTGATGGACAGCGATATTTGTTGGCTGATTTAGCTGGCAATTTATATATGTTGTTGTTAGAGCTGGGCAGAGATCAGGAACAGG